AAAAAACTGTCACGATAAGTTCTGCATGATTTCCAGTATAAATGCATTTTTTCATAAACGCAACTACTCTAAAGTTTCTGGCATTTATTTTGCGGGTAAATCCAACGCAGCACGCGCTTTACCCAAGCAAATGACCTTGACCGTGGAATTGAGTAACCCAATTTAATACAATTAAATCACAGAAATATTTATTCACAACAACTCAGCAAACATTCATGTACACTCAAGCAATCAAAACTAGCACGTTGAATAACAAAAACAAAGCAATAATAATAATTGCAAAAAAACATTGCAAAAACAAGCCTAAACAAATAGTAATTCCAGATAAATAACTAAATGGAACAATTTACACAATGAAAGCAAAACGAATGAACAACAATCAACTCGCTCTCTACGAACCAAATTGCAAAAACACAAGTAAAGGTAAAAAAGCAAAAAGTAAAAAGCAAAAGAAAAAATGCAAAAACCAAGCAGAAAAACAATTTGCGCACGCAATGCAATATTCGCTATATATTCCACTCGGTGCTCTCCGTGAGCACACGCTAGTGTTGTGTGTGATTCGCTCTCACGCCACCTCTCCACCGTCCATTACTCGCCTCTTGCTTGTGATCTCAAACTGAGTGCGGCACGTGAATAATTATACACATGCATATAAATGTACAAATGTATAGTGTTACGTACCCATGAAAATAAAAATAAATTTGCAAGTAAATCATGAAATGAATGAATCAACAACAACAAAAGAAATAAAAGAATAAATAAACTGACCCCCTTATGCCAAATAATAATAAAAACACATGGCAGCTTAAAAACACGTAAAATAAAGAAAAAAACTGCAAAAATCAGTAGCAAAAACAAAAGCAATGATAAAGTAAAACAATAACAAAGTAAACAAAAACAATAAGGAAGGAAAATCTATAACTAAAGCAATAAAAAATACAAATATTATATGTTCTAATACATTGTAGAAGCAATAAAAAATATTTTAGCAATAATGTTCATACATACATCAACTTTAATGAAAACACAAGCGAACTAAAAACAACAATATTATTTGCAAGATCTGATAATTTCTTTTGTTCGGCAGGCAGGAGTATGAAATAATTATTCTTTTAAACTGGTGCTGCGCCATGAATTTGTGTGTGCGAAAAAAAATGTGTATGCATTTATTGCTGATTTCACATCTATTTGCATGCTATTTGCTGGGGAAAGAAAATTTATTTATTTACGTATAAATATATAAACAGGTATCTGTGTGTACATAGTATAATATTAAATTTATAAATCAAAATCCCGTTATTTTCTCCAATAAATTAGGGAAAATCAAATGTAAACTTTGGCATTGTTTACTTACCGATTTCTTCAATATAACGGCCAAGGGATAAAATCGAGGTCAATTACGCTATCGTAAAACAAGTCTTTTGTAAGGCCAGAAAAAAACGGGACTTAGTGCTCATTTATTGACAAAGTATTCTGAAACTAACACAAATATGCTTAAGCGATTTGTTACAAATCCAGCAGTTTATCTGTACGCGTATGCCTGTGAAGTTGGCATGATTTTATCTCGTCTTTTTTCAAACAACTTTGACAGCTGGCATTTCGTAAGATTTTTAACCTTACCTCATGGATGTTGAGAGGTGACCGGCAGTTCACCTGAATGGCTGATGGTGTTTTGCCTTTGATCTCGCAATGTCGAGAAATTTGAGAAGTGAATATTGACAGGATTTTACCCCGTACTATGTACCTCTATTTGAGATTCTAAAAAATCCTTTAATCCTTCCTATCGGTTCTATGAAATGTTTAAAAACTCCGTTGTTTTATTCTTTGGTACGTATGTATATTTTTTAACTTTACCTATATTCTGAAAAAATTTTTGGTAGACACCTAAAAATATTCTCTCCAAATATTCACTATTACTATACTCCAATAGTTTACCATTTTTCCTTATTATTGGAAAGAAAAATTCATATTTCTGCAACATAATGTGAAAAAAAGTCTTTTTTTTCGGCTCACCCTAGTACGTATCCCTCACCGTTCCCAAAATTTTCGAATCTATGAAATCGGGATGAACCCGAACTTATATCCATGCAATGACTGTTGACTTAACACCACTTCTCAAATTTATGCCAAATTGAATTAAATAAAGACTTTTACCTATAACAACGAAGTTCAAAGTGTTCGAACAAACGTGTGTGGCAAAACCTACCGAGAACGAGTAAGGATAAAGGAAAGGCTTTTTCTGCGTGCTAAAAACCAAATTGCCTAAAAATACGCGTTTTCATTGGTCTTAACTTCTCTGACTACTATTGTGTATATACATGCATACATACATATGTACTTATGTATACTATTTGTATGGCGATAGGCAAAATATCAGTTTGAATGTTCGGGAAATTTATGAGTTGTTGTTGTATATATGTACATATGTATGTAACTGTTTACTGTGGCGCGAATGACGTCCGAACGTATATCACGTGCCATTAGACAAATTTACTGCTATTGAACGAATGAGTAGACGATTGAATGAATGAAAGAATGAACCATAAAATAGTCAATTTATAGAACGATTGTTGGAAACAGCCGACGGCGCTAAATGGTTATTATATTTAAAGGTTTATTTATTTTTATTATTATAGGTGGAATTAACTGGAAGTTTCTGAGCGTGAAATCACTAATTTTACTTGCTTTTATTATGCACAATACATCAAACTAACAGTTATTAATTCAAGTATTTTCAGCTACTTGGCAATATTTGTTGGGGTTTTTCGTTTTCTAAAAATAACTTATTTGCTGACCCTCCCACAAAAGCAGCTTAAGAATTTTTTCACCTAAGCGAAATGATAAACTTTTGTTGTAGGAGGCATTACAGACTAAGGAAAATACACAATGGCACAGACTGGCGCCATACGTAAGCGGAATTTCGGCTGTCAGACATCAAATTAAACAACCGATAAACAAGCGCAATACAAAAAGTCATAAAATCGACTAGCTGCACGTTTAGACGCCAGCCGCCGTTAAGGGTGGCTAACTATTGACCTTTCGTGTTTCGAGCTCACATTTATTGTTGGCTTTAAAGCGTTTTAGGGCTGCATTAAGTCAATAAAGACAGTCACTCTGTGGTAAAGCGTTTGTAAAAAAAATGAAAATAAAAATTTATAAAATATGTATAATTAATGATAAGCCATATATCATGCCTTTACAAGTATAGCTGTTACTAGCTGCACGGTGAGAAATTTTTAAATAAATTCAAGCAATTTTAAAACTTTTTCTTAACAAAAACTAAAAATTCTTAACTTTCTTAATGAAGAAAAAAACTTTACTACTGATTAATTTATTTTATCTTTTTTAAAGGGTTAAGCCAGTGTAGTGTTCAATGTGCAATTCGCTGCTGTTTTCAAGCGTTCGGATCAGTCAGCTTTACGTCCTGAACCGCACGTGTTTTTTTCGAAGCTCCTTTTTTTAGATTGGTGGGCGATGGTACTAGAAGACTATCTTACGTCTGCACTTGGAATTTTAGCTGTAGCTTTATAGTAACATTATCTAGTAAACTATATACAATTTTTTGTTATTATTACAATCTTTTTTTTATAAAAAATTTACTGCTAATTTTTTGAACCAAAATTTAATTTTTTTACATTTTTGTCATTTTACGAAAAATGGATATAAAACTAAACACTTATAGACATACTTTTTACTAGACATTTTCATGTAGAAGAAGATCTCGTTTAATTTGGTTTGAGTTGATACGCTTTCATAGAATCACGCTCATCCGTACAGGCCCACTTGAAAAAGCTGATTTCGTGGATTGGCCTCAAAGCCGCCATTTTATATCAAAATGTCAATTAAAATTTATTTATATACTCAAATGCATTTTTACTTGTAATAAAACCTGAAAGCGAGATATTCGATTCTTTTTTCCTTGCTCCCAGAAGAAATTGTCAAAGTTAGGCATATTCTGAGGGCTCCGGACTGATTCGAAAGGCTTTGTTCGCAATTAATACCAGAAGTAATTATACTTGTAGCATCGAAGGTTGTAGTCGCTTATATGTACTATCCATAATTTATTTTCTGCTACCAGCATTAGTCTGGAATTCCAATACTTAACTGTCGGTGACTTTCAGAGTACTCAGATAGTAGCTCATGCGAACATTAAAAAGAAGTTTTTTGGCATATCATTTAAGTTGGAATGAAAACATGGGGAGAGAGTTGGTTGGCTTATTGAATAACGAGATGACGCTACGGTCGGTATCACATACCATTCGATCAAATTTGACCCGGACTGGATGATTGTAACGAACTTTTTGGCCAACCAAATTGCATTAAACTTTGGCATACTTGTCTTGGCTCAAGAGTTTATTTTAAAGACGATAATAAAGTTTTGTATTAAAATACGTGAAAATGTAGTTTTTTCCGGTCCGGATAAAATTTGATTAAAAGGTATATTGTCCGATTTAAGAACTTTTCCTACACTGAATTTGTTATTTTTGGCGCTAAATTGTTAATTTCATGTCTCGATGTATTAAATGTGTATATGTATATATGTATATTTGAATTTTACTCCAAAAATATTAATGATTTACAACCGAATTCTTAATGTTGTTTACGCCCACATAACCTCCAACTACCTGCGCCACACACTGCTGTATATTAGCGACCACAAATACACAAACAGATTTCAAGCCGTAGAAATTTCTACAATCAAATGCAATTCATTGCATATGACTTTCGGTAGGGCGTATGGCATATAAAAGGAAAGCGCTGCGACTACGTGTATTATGATATGTTTGATTGCCACTAAATTGTTACTCATACGTCATGTGGTGCCGTTAGTTAGCTACAAGCAAGCGCATAATTCCACTAATGCGCGCATTTATCTCACTAATGATGGCATACATTTGCATAAATTTGATGCCTTTCAACTTGTCGCAGCTGGATTTAATCATATATCTTTATTTTTACTAATTTCTCGTTTTGTTGTTATTTTTTTGTGCTCGTTGCAGCTTTGCTAATTACTCGACTACTTTGTAAGCGCATACGCTCGCCCTCCTGTTTGCCTGCCTGCCCGTTAGCCTGCCTACAATAAAAAAAAAACCAAAAAAAAAATTAATAAACAAACAAACAAGTCACTAATATACATAGAGAGTCAGCAAATAACTACTGAAACAACAATAGCAAAAACAACAACAACAAAAAGAACAGCAAACGACTTAGCAGCGTTTCAATCAATTCAATTCAACCATCAATTCATCGCTATTCATAGCAATATAACCGAGAGTACGCTCGAACGCAGTCTGTCGACGTCATCGTCATCGTCGTTATCGTCGGCAGTTTGTCAACAAATTCACACACACACATACATTTAAGCGCATATGTTATTTCTTGTTGTGCATAGCAGCGGATCTCTATTCTAAGTTGATTTGTGCACCTTTGGCTTCTACAAACGTTAGCCAGTTTCTTCGTGCACAGTTCGTCGTTTGACGTGCAATGGCAACATGGACAACGAGCAGCCACATCAGGAATTAGTCAAGTGCGTACTGGTCGGTGATACTGCCGTGGGGAAGACGCGTTTAATTTGCGCACGCGCATGCAATAAACATGTTTCGCTGTCACAGTTGCTTTCAACACATGTGCCCACCGTTTGGGCTATTGATCAGTATAGAATCTACAAGGATGTAAGTAAAGAAATAAAAATTATTCGCTTTGATTCTCTCATTAACAGAACTTTTAGCGTAGTTTAATAACCGTTCGCATTAGACCAAACACTTTACAGTTTTAAAATTAAAACAGCAAACAAAGTGCTCTGAGTGGTTTAAGAAAGACTGAAATAAAAAAGGACCACAGTTATTAAGTATAAATTTGCAACACAGTGTCTAGAAGAAAGTTCGCTGAAATATATGTAGCTGCGGTGTTTAATGCTGAAATAACTTTTTGAAAAGTGGGAACAGTTTTTTATGAATAAACTTACAGCAAATATGTCTGCAAATTAGATGAAACACACATAGCTTCAATAATAAATACTGAAATATTTTTTCAAAAAGTGGGAACAGTTTTTTATGAATAAACTTACACAGTGTCTGCAAAAAGTTAAATGAAACACATAGCTTCAATGATAAATACTGAGATTTGTATTAAAAAAGTGGGGAAAGTTTTTGATGAATAATTCTACTACATAACGCCTTCAAAAAAGTATCTGCTACATAACTTCGATAATTAAACTATGGCAACAGTTTTTAAAACCACTGTAACGCTCTTGAAATATTTCTTTAACAAAGAAATTAAAGTTAATACATAATAAAGCAGTAGAAGTCAATTTTTGTTGAGCTGCTTGATGTCAAAATTATAAATTATTAGTTTCAAGTGAACGTATATATTTTATCATTTAACTTCTGAACTGTTAGTAGGCTTGTTAAAATTTTTTTTTTTTCAAAATACAAGACATAGTTTTAAATTAAACATTGCTACAGCTATATTTCTTGATGATTCTGCAGTCAAATTTTAAACTCATGACTGCAATAAAAGACTCAAGTTGTGATGACGAACTCAATCGCGAAGAATTGTGTTTCTCAAGGAATAGATATTAATTACAATGCAGCCTTTTAAGATTGTTGCCGGTTTCTAAAAACATTAACTGGAAACAGTTTATAGAAATTTTTTACTTAATACGAATGCAACGTTCCAAAAATTATTTATATTTTATTAAAAAAGTAACGGCTTCTTATGCAAACATACATTTTATAGGTACTGGAACGTTCTTGGGAGGTAGTGGATAGCGTAAATGTATCGTTACGTCTCTGGGACACATTTGGTGATCATGATAAAGATCGAAGATTTGCTTATGGACGGTAAATAAAAAATATCATCCGTTAAATTAATATGAAAATTACTTATAAATGTTTTTCTAACTGTTTTCATTTCTCTTACACAACTACAGATCAGATGTCGTACTGCTATGCTTCTCTATTGCCAGCCCCATATCGTTACGCAATTGCAAAGCAATGTGGTATCCAGAGATACGTCGCTTCTGTCCAGATGTGCCCGTCATTTTGGTAGGATGCAAAAACGATTTGCGTTATATGTATCGTGATGAAACGTATCTCTCGTATTTTGGCGAACGAAGCACCTTTGTACGGTAAATTTATTGAATTTATTGTTTGAACTTACTTGTTCACTGCAAATTCAAAACTCCTTAAACAGTGCTGCACTAAAAAGTGACCTCGTTATGCCGGATGAAGCGCGTGCCGTTGCGAAAGAACTGGGCGTTGCCTATTACGAGACGAGCGTTTTTACATATTTCGGTGTGAATGAAGTATTCGAGAATGCCATACGTTCGGCGTTGATTGCGCGCCGACAGCAACGTTTCTGGATGACGAATTTAAAGAAAGTGCAAAAACCGTTGCTGCAGGCACCATTCCGACCGCCCAAACCGCCACCACCAGAAGTCACCGTAGTGGTGGGCAATTACAGACAAGACATGTACAACATGTTAATTTCGCAAACCCACACGGATCTCATACTGGTGGTGGGTGCGAGTAAATTTCCGGTGCATCGGTTTATGCTCGCTGCTGCGTCGAACATCTTTTATCGGCTACTGAATACAGAGCTAACCGATATGGGTGGTAGGAGTAGTAGTGAATCGAGTATGGTGAGTACAAATGCAGTGCGGTGTATCAGAAATATGAGTCAATAGAAGCTAAATCAAGTGGACAGAGCTCTCATGGCTGAGCAATTTATAAAATTTGATCGTTTTGTAAAATTGTTGTTTTAGTTTCGAGCCATAACGGCTGGTAATAGTTAGTTTCGCTAAGAAAAGAGGTTAGACGCATAATCGTAATTTATTTAGGAAACAAATGATGTTTGGTAAACATTTTACGGTAGTAAATATATTTCGCGCAAATCGGGAACAATTTCAACTTTGAAATATGCTTAGAAATGTTTCGCAATTTTTCTTTTGATTCAAATGTAGCTTAAAAACAATTGCTGTGTTAATTTAACATAGTGTAAAAATTAAAATTAAAATTATTGGTACTGGGAACAGTTGAACTAGCGATCGCATAATATAACTATAATAAGCTTGCAGCTACAAATGATTATTGAATATAATATATAATTTTTTTACAAAAATTTCCATTTTATTTTTGAAATTTTTTTGTTATTTCTACATATAATACATATAATATAATATATGTATATACGATAGAATCGAACTGAGAATGATAAATCTGTATTTTCATATAAAAGGCTTTAGTAGAAATAATAAATGTTATACATAATTTATTGAGCGATTATAGTTTTGAATGTAGTTCACTTGTTTGGGAACAGTTCTAACTTGAACGTATTACTTACCTTTTGACATTTCCAAACTTATAATAGGGGTTTTTATATTTTTTTCTATTCAAAATTAAAAGCTGACATTTGTCTTATTTTACATGGCATATTTATAAACACTCTCTCCTCCTAGGTGAGTTCCACATTTGGCGAAGCGACCACAGCGGACTTTAACGACGACACTGAGTGCCTCATAAGGCATGAATCGCGTACACAAAGGTACTAAAAATAATTATAGACATTCGTTTTTATATATACTAATCTTGCTTACTGTATTGGTAGAATGTGGGAACAGCTGAAACGGCGTTCCAGCTATCAGGCCTTACCGCTAATCGAAACCAAAAAGCCCAGTGATCTCTATAAGGACCTGCATCATCCCATATTTCAAAATATACGCTTAGTGCAGATGGAAAATACGCGTGGCATCAACGTAACACAAACAATTGTCACACTGACAAAACTCATAACACCACAAGCGTTGCAACAGTGTCTGCAATTTATTTATACCGGCACAATTGAAAGAGAATTTCACAATTTGCAGGTAATTTCAAGTTAATTAAGTAGAGAGGGTTTGCCACGAAGTATGTAACAGCCAGAAGTAGAGTCGATATTGACATGCCCATCTGTCTGTCCGTCTGGCTATACATACGCCCATTTGTCGGAAACGCCGATATACCACCACTATAACATATAGCTGCCATACAAACTGAACGCTCAAAATCAAGCTAAAGATCTCTTTATATCCTCTCATGTTATAAAAAATGCACCTGTGAAGGATACGATAGCTTTAGTGCAAACAAAGTTAACGTTTTTTCTAAATTCTTATTTTACTTATGCTTTATATCAACTTCTTCCATGTAGGAAGTTAAACAAGCTGCTGATTTCTTAGAACTGCCTCAATTGACTGTATTACTTTCCAAGCCACAAACACTTTTAGCCAGTTTAAACGATGAACCAAATCAACATTTTTGTCTTGTAAGTCCAGCGACGCTATATAAACCGTTTCGCATGCTATACTTATGCTTCTATTTTTACCATAGAGCATTAAAGAGAATATGGAGAAGCATTGTATTGGCGATGGCTGTTTCAGTGATGTCACCTTTGAGCTGGACGATGGACAGATGAAGGCACATCGCGCTATATTGGTTGCACGCTGTGATGTTATGCGCGCCATGTTGGCCGGCGACTTTCGTGAGGCGCACTCGAGTGTGGTGAGTATACGAGCACATGTACATAGATAGGTAAACAACAGTATGATACGAACACTTTTTCGCAGATCGTTTTTCCCGGTGTCACGATTTACACGTTTCATAAGTTACTCTGCTATTTATACACAGATGAAATACCGCCAATTTCCGCAGATAAGTGTTTAAATCTTTTGGAATTGGCAAATCGTTTGTGTTTGCCAAGATTATTGAATTTGGTGGAGTGTCGTGTGATTGAAGACTTAACGATGATATCGCAGAATGAAACGAATGAGACAGTCGATCATTGTCTCAAACTACTGGAGCCGGTGAAGGTGAGCATATATGCTATTGCTTGAAAATTACACACCTAGTATGTATGGCAATAAGGGTTGCGAATATTTGGATTAAAAAATTTTCGAATTAAAAATGGACAATCTATTGTTTAATCCAAAATTAAAATATAATGCGAAATTGGAATAAAAATTTAATACTAATTTGGTATTATTTTTTTTTATTTAAGTTTTTAAATACGATATTTGAAAATTAAAAAAATATTTTTTAATTTTTCAATCCCTTATCTGAAATTAGAAATTTGATGATTATTTTTAATTTAAATTTTCGGGATGACAAAATAAAAAAATTAATTTAATTATATATATATAATATATAGTAGCAGCTAGGCAACTATAGCATAACAACCAGTTGTCTTCTTTTTATTATAACTTTTAAATTTTTGTTTTTCACCTCTATCACCCCCTTTAGCTGCACAATGCCCATCAACTGGCCGAATGGTGTATGTCTTACCTGTGCGTCAATTACAATATAATATGTAAATACTCACTCAAAGGCCTCAAAGCACTGCATCAGGATAATCAAGAGTATTTACGTGAACACCGTTGGCCACCAGTATGGTATTTAAAGGATTACGATTACTATCAACGTTGCATAAATGAAATGAATAAGGAATTAAAGAATTCACGTCGTGATTCGCGTAGTGATGACGAAGGTTGTCTCTGTTTTACGGGCGGTAAGTGTCAAAGCACTGTTATTAACAACAACAACAAAACTATTTGACTGTGTGCTGTACGAACGAACTGGAAATTTCGACCGTTGCAACAACTGCCTCAAAGTGCAGTGCTATAAAATGGGCGTCAGTCTAGAAAATAAAAAAATAATAATAATAAGCAAATAAATGTATGAATTCTGAAACCGCCCGCGTTTTCAACGTTGACGCAGTGCTCTCAAGCAGAAATAGCAACAATGCGCACATTAGTTGTACTTCGAAAATATTATAAATTCTTTTTATTATTATTTTTTAAACATAGTTCCGTACTGCATTTGCAGGTTATAGCTATCGTTTTTAAATTTTCTACTCGCATACTCGTGTCGCTTGGGTTTGTATTTGTAGTCGCTCAGTCATGATACTTCCCAACACACAAGTGTTTTGCACAAAGAAAACTCGCCGTGAATGAAAGCGCCATTTTCACCTCTACCCAAATGTTACTAAGCATAAATACATACATACATGCATATGTATCTTGTAAAATCGTTACTCGCACTCATTTTAATTTTCTGTTTTAAACTATTGTTTTTATTATAAGCTTTTTTATTTTTATTTTTTTCCACGTTTCCAAATTTCGACATTCAATTCAAAAATTTAATTATAATATATTATTTAATTTTTTATTTTGTTTTATTTAAGAAAAGATTTACTTAATTTGTTCGATTTTCGTTCGTTTGAATATCAGTAGATTGTTGATGATTGCTTTTATTATAATAATATTCTTTTTAATTAATATAAATATTATTTAATTTGAATTTTTTGAGTATTTTTATATTTTTTTACAATTTTAATAATTTCAATATATATTTTTTTTATTAAAAAGTAAGATTTGTTTAATTGGATTAACGAAAAATAAATAAATTAGCCTTTTTTATTTGTTTTTATGTATATTAAATTATGAACTTTTTATTTTATTTGTATATTTTTTAAATTTTGGCTTTTTTAATTTTATTTTATACTTTTTAAATACAATTTTTTTTAGTTTATTTTATTCAATTAAATTTTTATTTACAATAAAAGCTACTATATTTTATCATATATAATACCATTAATTTTTGGTGTTTTTCATTTGATTTAACAGAAATTGGTTTATTATTGCTTTTATTTAATTTAATTTTTTTAATTGCATATTTCTTATAAATTTTAATTATTTTTAATTCAAAATTATTTTTACATTGTAGAAGTGAACAATAATTTTAGTTTGAAACTTTTTCTTTTTTATTAATTGCCTTTAATTTGTTTATATTTTCTTTTAAATTGTTTGAAATGTGCTTTTTATTTATTATCTCTCTCATTTTTAAATTAAAATAAATTGTATATATTCATATAAAATAAAATAAGTAAATAATAATTTGATTTTTGAAAAATTTTTTTTTTGTATTATTATTTTTATTTATTATATGTAAATTTTTAATAATTTATTTTATTTTTTTCTTTATACATTTTTGTCAACGCTTAAATTGATTTTTGAAGCGTTTTATTTTTATATAGTTAATTTCAACACAATGAAAAAATATGATGTTGTTTGTTTAATGACTGTAAGCTTATTGAATATGTTTGACAGATGTCACGCCAACCAAACAGAAAAAAAATTAAGCCTCTCTCACAATATATGTTTTTGTTTTGAAAAATTATGATTTCTTTATATTATTATACAAAGAAATAAATTATTATTCACATCAACATATCACTTATATAAGTATTGTAATTTGTTATTTACTATACATATTTACGTATTTATATTATAATGTTTGTTTGTTAAGATGATTATTCTTTAGTATTTAAAAAATATTATTTTTATTTTTGTAACTATTTGTAACTATTTTTTATGCAGTAATGTAATTATTACTATATTTTTATTAATTTTTTAATTTAAGCTCAATTTTTAAGTTATTAACTTTTTTGTATGCATTTTATGTATTTTATCTTTTACGTGTATTTATTTTTTTTTAACATTTTTTTTATGCAAAATACTTTAATTTCTAATCTTTCTAATTTTTTAACTTTTTGTGTATAATTTTATATAATTTATATTTTTCTTATCTATTTTTTATGTATTTTATCTTTATATTTTTATTTTGTATACATTTTATATTTTTATTTCATTATTTTTTTTGTACATTATATTTTTAGTTTGTTATATATTTTTTTATACATTGCCCTTTTATATTTTATTTTTATTCACTTATTCTGTCTCCTTCTCCTTGCATTTGCTTGCTATAATATTTATGTGCGCTTTTTCTTGTTTTCCTTAAAAATTTATTCCGCTTGACCAACTGAAATGTTACTTCTTCAATTTGAACCTTATTTGCTCTTTGTTAGTCTCTCAAATTTACTTAACTAATTTTCGTTTCTCACTTTTATTACTTTAAAATTCAAATTCATGCCTCAATTTCATAAAAGTCAAGCTAGTCAAAAATCTAACAGCTTGCAACACTTTGCAACCACCTCTCCAAGACCCAATACGCCGAACACACACACTCAAGTACATTCAGACATTTGAAACCTTAACACAATCACATACATATATATATTACATAACAACACACATACATACAAACATGCATACGGCCACGCCCCCTGAAAATCATGCACTGTTTTATTAATATTGAAATTTGGACAAAGTGTTCTCTTGGCTATTAGGCAGCAGCAATGGCGGCAAATCGAAGCGTGGCAACGATCCCAATGGCAATGGTGGCAGCGGCACCGCTGAGCATAGCACAACCGATAATCAAATCTTCAATAGCACAGCGAATTCGATGAATCACATTGACTTGGAGGCGGCCGAAGTGGACTTGAATCTCTGACATCCAGCCATCGGGCACAGAAGGTACCACTTATACATTATTACTTTTTTTATACCCTGAGCAGGATATATTAAGTTGGTCACAAAGTTAGCCACACCCCGAAGGAAACGTCGGAGAACCTATAAAATATATTCTCATATATAAGTAATTTGTGACAAGCTGAGTCGAATAAGCCATACCCGTCTGTCTGCCTGTATATAAGTGAGCTAATGCTTCCGTTTTTAAGATATCGATCTGAAATTTTGCACACATCATTTTCTTCTTAAGAAGCTGCGCATTTGTCGAAACCGCCGATAACGGACTATTATAGCCAAACAAACTGAATGTTTAACATCAAGTCCTTGTATGGAAAACTTTTTTATTTGACCAGATATCTACATAAAATTTGGCATAGATTATTAACCTAGACAGCGCTACAATCTTCGTACATATTTTTCAGATCGAATCATTATAGCATATAGCTGTCATACAAAATGGCCGCTGAAAATCACGATAAAGATATTTTTATATTTTTTCTTGCTATAAGAAATGCACCTGTGACGGGTATTATAGCTTCGGTGCAGCCGAAGTTAACGCATTTTCTTGTTGTTAATTAATTGTATGTGTTTATTTACAGATCACTGCGTTTCATTGTGATTCTGCCCGTGCTGATTTGTTTCATTTGTACAATTTTAAGTATTTTAATATTATTTCAAATTTACACATAACAATACCAAAAAAATTGTTATAAGCGTAATGCAATTAATGCTAAAAGTATTTTTTCTATTAAATTGTTAAAGGTAATCTAATTACAATCACAATTATAAATTTAAGCTGGAACAATATGGCCATCCGCATTCGGTTATCTATAAACTGCATAGGTTAGTTTTAAGATTTGCAGTGAGTGCTGTGAAGGATCTGATCGTGTTTTCAAACACTTGAGTCAGTCGTAAGAGAATTTTGGGTTTGGTGACATATTTCGGTTTGTAAAGCTTGACAGAGTTGTCCTATTTGTGACAGATGTTGCTCATTTTGAAGTGTGGACTTATTGTGAATTGAGCTGTCATCTTTTTTTCTTAAGAAAAGATGTAGAAAAATTCGAAGCAGTTGCATTTTGTTGAACTGCGAATAATTTTTTTTTACCATACAAAGTTATGGTGCACAACTTAGGGGTCTTACTGTATCTCTATACCCTCAGTTTCAGTATTGGTGGGAATATTTTAACTTGTTACACTTACGACAGTGGGCAGATAGCAATATATACCATGCAAAAAAGCAGTAAAAGCAACAACAATATCAAATGTTGGTGTAATGCGCATATGCAACAGCAGCAGCAACAAGAAAACAACAAAATCAGTATGCAACAAATTGCAAAAATATGACCAATACAACAAATAACAACAGCAAAAAAAAAAAAACAATTTATATGAAAAAATCAAAAAGAAGCAAAAAAAAAACGTAAAAGCAATTCAACTGGTCTTACGCCAAGCAGTCTGAGAAAGCGAAATTTTTAAATAAACTAAGATCAATATTAATTTTTCAGAAAAAAATCTTTTTCAAAAGCAAGCTATGCAATAAATTATAACATTTAATTTTCTTTACTTGACTACAACAATGAAATCAATTACTAAAAAACACCAGTAAATTATGAGCAATATATACGTATATATGTATATATATATATGTCCCCAGTGAAGCAAAGCCACATAACATACATGCTTACACGCAACTTCAAGTAGCAAAAATTGAGGGTATACTGCAAGCACACGCCATTGAAAAAAGTGGAAAATGTGGAGAAGCGCTAAAAATAGGGAAACTATTGTCTAGCCATTAGTCATGTAAGCGAAACACAAATTTCTAAGCGAGCAAAGATAATACACACACATACACTAGGTACATGCTTACATATATAAATATTTATAAAAAATAAAAAAAATTATTGATTTAGTAACAAATATGCTAATTATAACTGTAATAGGCATAGGAAGTAAAAATAATAGAAAACTAAGTTTAGTGCCAGCCAGCCTAACACAAAACGGAGCAATTCTTAACTTTAGATGACATAGCATATGTATGTATTTACACAAGTACATATACAATATAAAAAATATTTGCAATAAATAATAAAAGCAAAAAAACAACTGTTGGGGGTTTCTAAAATTGTAAGCGCTGCTGTTAAATAAGTATAAAAATTAGAAAATGCACTTAAATTGACTAAATGCAGATAAAAAAAAACATTAAACAAATTTTTTTGTTTAAATTATGCAGTAAATTTTTTTACTAAATTTTAAAATTTAATTATGCGACATAAAAGAAATAATGCCTTTTTATGTTACACTAGAAAGCTCTTTCGCCTAAAATTATACAACAACTGCGCGTACACAAAATAAATAGAAGATAAAAACGAATTAAAAATATTAAATTTTGTTATGCTGTAAAGTTTTTGACTAAAATTAATAATTATGCGTCTTATTGCATACAAAAATTAATGCTGTTGTTTACTAAAGTTTTTAGGCCTACACCAAAATAGCGCTTTCGCCTAAAATCGTGAACGGCAAATTTTGTATAAGTATTTCGAAATATTATATCTTAAATCAATCATTTCAACAATCTAAATACAAATTTTTATCGAACAAGATTTTTTGTGAACATTTTTCTTACAACTACTGTAAGTTCATTGTCTCTTCGTTTCACAACACGAACTCGCTGGCGAGGTTCGAAAATGCCATCAATTATAAAATTATAAATGTATAACTACAGCTTAAAAAATAATTTTCAATAATTTTTTCTTCAGTAAAGTTTTAGTACTATCACTATATACACTCCTTGTTCTAACCTCACTTTTGTTATATTTTTCAACAGACATATACAAAGCGCTCACAATAGATACCCCTAAGAAATAAAATATTAACAAATAATACTTTATAAATCTATTTGAGTCAACATTATGCTGAAAGCACAAAGCAAAGTTGTTGGAACCTAGTCAATCTGCCCAAAAAAAAATTTTGAAACATTAAAATCATATGCCGATATAGTTGTAAATAGCTAATAAATTAGTATACGCCAACAAAGAATGCATAAAAAATTTCAAACAAAACAAAAGTGATTTATAAATACATAATCTAGTAAACAAAAAGTTTCATTATTAGTAATAAAAAATAATAATAATAATTTAATAACATAAAAAATTATATTTAAAAAAATAAAATAAAACACAAAAATTTCATAAAAAATAAAATAATAATTTAATAAATAAAAAAATTATTACTTAATAAATAAAAAAAATCATAATAAGTTAACTCAAAGCGTACTTTTAACATAACAAGACACATAAAAAATAAGCTTCACTAACAAATACACTCATAAAAATTATAAAGAAAATCATAATTTGCAAGACGGCTGGTTACTGACACAAAAATTAATACAAATTTGTACTAGAAACCTCTAATAACCGTTTCTCGGAACTGATTCGGGTATTAAAATTGTTTCTATTAAGCGCTGCTGTATGTTATGCACCATATTGTTTGAAGTTCAACAAGAAGACTGCTTTCGGCTATAGGAAATAAATTAAAAATAATATAAAAAATATTTCGCTGCTTTCAGCTTGTGTCAGCAATCAGCGGTGTGGAAAAAGCTCCATAAGCTAAGTTTACGAGTATAATGTGCGTTCCTAAATACTTGTACACACATATGTATGTACATATTAGGGTGTCCGTTATTTCCGAAGTCTATTTGGTTTTTTTTAACGCGCCTTGAAGTTTCAGTTTTTTAACTAAAATAAAAAATAAGATTCAAACGTAAACAAGCACTTTATTTTCAAGGTATGGTAAACCGTGCCTAAATCATTTAACTTTTACTATGTGTTGTATAACATGGAATTTTTTAACATTTTGTATTAAACAAGTAAACCCACAACCTTGAAAAGTTCACATTCTAATACAAAATTTTTCACTCTTCAAAAAAGGTCTTGATAATTTTTTTCATAAAAGCACTATTTTAAAAGTTGAGCGCAATTAAAGTTACATATACATCAAATGACCTGAGCATGCATACAATTAATTTCCACATTCTGTGTTGCTCATACGTCATGGTGTACTATATGTATACAGTACATTTCATGCATAACTTTAACTGCGTATAACTTTTAAAACAATGTTTTTAAGAAAAAAATGAATAAAATATTTTTTGTAGAGTGGAAAATTTTGTATTAGAGTATTACTTTTTCAAAGTTTTAGATTTGTTTGTTTTGAAGTTAAAAAAAATGATTGCAAAAGATCTAAAAATCTCATCTAAAATGTATGAGAAAAGTAAATTTTTTAAAAACGGTTTAAATTAAAAATAAGAAGCTGTTTTACGAAACAAAAAAACTTTTTAAGAAAAAAACTGAAGTTACAGCGTGCGTTTAAAAACAAAAAAAAAACAAAGCAACTTGGTAAAGAGTAGACACATATGGCACACATATGTATGTACATATATGCACGTACATACCATCTGATTCAATCGCTTATAATTATGATTAATCAATTCACACTCGCACACAAACACATACACAAGTACACACTTAGTGTACTTATCAACACTCATCGATCGACTCATACGGCCTAGCAATATATATACTGTTCTAGCGTTAGTTTTACTATTAATGAAAATTCAAATATTTAGTATATACATACAAGCATACAATTAATATAAAATAATATATATATATACATAAACATAGAGATATATGATATAAAAAAATAAAATTGAAATATTTTTAGCGCATATTTTTGTATTGTATAAAATTATAATTATTATTTTACTTAGTTACTACGTATGAATTACGAAACTAAATAAATTGAACTTTGAACATTTGAAAATAAGCTGAATAACAGAACATAAATAACAGAACATAATAAAATGTTATAAAACAAAATTTTGCAGTATGAAAAGGTAATATCTTGAAATTATGTACACGTGCAATAAATAAAAAGAATAATATGATGAACAAATTGCAAGATTCTGCTTTAATTTGTCGGTATATGAATAACAGTATATAGTTTTTTGTTTATTAAATTTTTATTTTAGTGTATTATTAATGTTTTTCAGGTTTTTTATTCTGTCACAATAAAAAGTTTAACAAAAAAAATTTAAATAATATTGATATTAAAATTAAGTTTGCCAAGCAGTTTCTAACATCCAGACGGAAACTATATAAAATATTTACATATGTATTTCTGAGTCGAGTTAGCCATGTCCGTCTGTATATACGCATACTAGTCCTCAGTTAAGATATCGCTTTACAATTTTACTCACATCCTTTTCTAACCAAGAAGCCGCTCATTTGTGGGAACCGCCTAAATAGGATCACTATAGCATCATAGAGCAATTAGTAGGAAATTTTTTTATTTATGAAGGTTACTCTCGCTTTGGTGCAAGCGAAGTTAACGTTTTCTTGTTTTTTTTTTTTTGTTTTAGGTTTAGGTTTTGTAAGCTTCATTGCCAAAATTATATAGTGTTTATTTATATACATAATAGCGTTCGTTATATTTATTGGTGGTGGTGAGAACTATCTATTTAATATATTTCTTACTTCAAGTCAAAATTTTGTAGCTAATAAATTTGTCTTAAAAATCCTTGTTAGAAACATGAATATTTTCTAGTTTTATATGCACATTTTTTAATATTTTCCATTACTAAGCATAAGGTACTGCATGTATTTAAGAGCAGGTAAAACAACGTAATAACAGTCAACAGTATTTGAAAGCTTATGTAACCCCCCATTTGCTTCATACGTTCGACACAAATCACAAAGAGATGAAGCTTGTTCAAGCGTCGCTGAATAAAATGTATAAACCAATTGTATATATATATAAATTTTTTTATTTATTAATTTTTCATGACAATTTTCGCCCTAACCTTTTAACTTAAGATAAAATACGAAATCAGTGCAGTAAATTTCTATTTCTTATATCAAATATTATTATTAAAAAATTTACTACTTTTTGGCCTACAGATTTTTTGTCAAATATTCTACAAACCTATACTCCGTAGTCGCATTAACCTTTTAGGAACACCAACAATTTCTTGTATTCAATAAACATTAACATAACATAACATTTAAACACATATTCTGTATTTTTAATGAATTTTGTTAATAAAAATAAATCTCATACAATAAATTTGACCATAATAAATCTTACAATCTCTGCAAACGTTAAGTCTACATGTAATTAAACATGATAGCTGATTAAAATTTCTTTAGAAAATACACGCGTAATACATTTAAAGTCAAAATACAATGTATTTAAGTATAAAATCTTAAAAGTAAATTAAAGTAAGTACCAATGAAGTGTGTTTATTGCGTAGGTCTTTTGTACACAAACAAAAAAATTTAGAATAAGGAAAGAGTTTTAATGTACAACGTGATTTAGAGCAAATAAACTTGAAATAAAAATTACAATAAATATGCTTTTATTTTGACAAAGTTTTATTTTTCTACTTCATAAAAGTTTTTAGAACATTCACCCTTATATTAAATCAAATAAATAAATTCAATAAAAACCCTTATATAATGGCATTCCATTTATCACTTTCATTTTTTGAACACTCATTCAGCAATAGCAGTGCATACGCTCGTCTCGCTTTTTCTTGGTGAACCGTCTTCAACTTCCAGACCCGCTAACATAGCCAAAAGCTCCGCATCGGTTATTTGGGGTGTGGGCGCAGCGCTTCCTATAGACTTGGATATATTTGCGTTTTCATTTTTATTTATTGGCTTGACGGGCGTTTGACCCGTTTGGCCGAGTATTTGTTGTAATTCACGTTCCAAAGCATCATTATCATTGAAATCAGCGCCACCAGCGGCAATATCTGATATGCCTGCATTAGCCAAGGTATCTTGTATCTCTTGATGTGTCTCCATAGTGTCACGCACCTCGGCAATAACTTCATCGACATTGTCATATTTCAAACCAGAGTCGTTAAGCGCTTTTTGTAAAGCCTTTGAACCGATCTTGTAAGCATCAAGTATTTGTCCATGACTGTGTGCCTCGTCCACGCTAGTTATGAGCGATTCTATATTATGTAAAGCTATGCTACGTTTTTCTAAAAATAGAAATATTGCAATTTAATTATTTTTACCTACAAATAGTTTTATATGTTTGTAAGTAACTCACCATGATTTTTCTCCTTTAAAAGTTTCTTTCGCAAGTAAGTCTTAGCCAATTGGCGTTTATTCTCTTTTATGTATTGGCGTGCTTTCTCCTCATTTTCCTTTATATCTTCCTCCAAGTTTTCCAATTGTTTCAACAAACTGGCTTGTGTCATTTTAAGGTTGTGCACGGCATGATCAGTCTCAGTGATTTCAACGTTTTTATCATTATTTGCTGGAAATAGTAATTTCAATAACACTTTTTCAAGCCTAGTTGTATGGTATACTCACCAGGTATTTTGATCAAGTGTATTTGTTGTTCTTTGTCTTCTAGTTTGTACTCCAGTCCAATTTTTCTTTGACAATGCAACACGTGCAAGCATAAAAGTAGACAATCTTCTTTAAGCGCCAAAACAGCGTTCGAGAGTTCTCTAAATTTTTCATAATGCAGCAGTTCGCCCTGATGTTGTTGCAGCACACTTTGGTGCAACTGTTTACAAAATTTCTATAATAAAATTTATTTATGTAAATGCGCATAAGCGTATAATTACTGGTATTCACTAACCTTCATAACTTCTAAGTGAACATATTCCAGCAAGGCTGCTTGATTCTCTGCCTGTAGCCCTATTCTGCTCTTCAATGTTTGCCAGCCCCATGATATTGGACGTTTTACAAAACTATTCATCGCCCAACCGCTCCATGTATTTTCAGGATCATATTCAAAGTCAGCACGTGTACGTATTTTCTTGGCGTGCAGCATCTCGCTAAAAACTGTGTCCAAACCGGAGGGTATTCGATCACCACGCGCAAATGTGTGTTGAAGGTCGTGTTTGCAAAAGCAGCCAGTGCCTGTGTGCTCACAATATAACGCAATCATATCTTGCCAAAACTTTAATTTTGAATCGTAGTGCTCTGGATTAAGTTCTCGTATGCGAAATGGTGCCAATAGTACCAACATGCGAGCATCATCCTTCCAGCAAGGTGGATATGGAAAGATATTACTGCCTTCTGAAGAATTGTTGTCCCCTTTGCTTGAACTGCTGTTATTGGCATTCCGATCCCTTATTGGTGTACGCAATGGAGTGGAGGAAAACATTTGACTGTAATAATAATAATTTGTTTTAATAGTTTACTACTAAGATGTAATTAATTGCGCTTTGTTTATTATTTTGTCCAATTGAGTTCACAGGTCTATTTTTAATGTTGCTCAACTGGCGTACGTTTAAATATGCAGAGTTGTATTTCCGGGTCTGAAAAATTTTAGTACATTTAATGATTTCAATATATATTACTTTGTTGATATAGTTTTATAAAAACATATTTACAAATAAAATAACTATATCTAGAAGTAATTATTTTGTTAAAAATTTCAGAAATTCATAAAAGGTACCAAAAATTATAACAATGATACATAAAATTTGTAATTCGTAAAGTATATAACTATATAATATTACAGAATTAAGATTTGAGAACAATAAAAATGTATAAACAAATATATTATTTTCTTTATACATGTTTAATAACTTTTTCATTTCTTTATACCAATAAGCAGATAATAAGGCGCAGTGAACACAACCTAACGCAATTAAATAACGATACAAACAAAAATATAACCAACTGATTACTGTCAATTGTAGGGTCAATTGTCATCGTGTGTTTTCCTTTCATTGGAAAATTCGTGGGTGCGAGTGAAAACGTGAGATTTGTGTGAAAGTTTTTCAGCAAGCAATAAGAAAAACATTAAATATATGTGTAAATAGAGCCTATATATAAAATTCGTTCAATAAGGTGCAGCATTGGCTGGCCAATTTCAACAGAAGGACATAACCTTGAAACATTATTTTTTACTTGCATCTGCAGATCTACTGAATCCTTGTTTTTGCACGTAAACATACGAAGGCCAGTCACCGCCAAGCCAATCAATGTGAAGCAACAAGAAAACTAAATAAACGAAATTAGAAAACTACTTGTGGCGATAGATGAAAGCAATAAATCGCCGCGCTGAATCATTTCGTTACGTTTGATAAGACACTGGCGTTAATTTTTTACGTAGAAGAAATTGCCATCGAATGTATGCCATTCCAGCTGAAAAGATATTAAAATAGCTGTATACACAACGTGTCGCGAGTGTATAGTGCGCGATTATTTACATTCACGATTTTTTCATTGAACTTGTGATTACTGTGATTTGTTTTGTGAAATCTTTAGTCATTACCAACGTACATACGTAATACGTCAACAAATAAAGTGTGGTATTCGTTCGCTTGCCCATTTAGCAACGACGTCATCAGTGTAGATTATACATTACATACCTACATAGTTTTGTTACATTTGCATTATAAATATTGTCACCGCCGTTTCTGTAAAGGGTTTGAGCGGGTAGATCAAAAACCTTATTGGTTAATTACAACGACATGCAAGACGAAAAAATGCTCAGATCACAATTGGCTAAAGGTAAGCATTTAAAAAGTATGTATCAACACATTGCTTTCAAAAGTATTATTTCTTAAATACATTTGTTTATATTATGGAAGTAAACAATATGTTATGTTTTAGAATAAAAATGTAATTTTACATACAAACTAAGCTATTTGTTTATACGTAGCTTTAAAATTATACATACCATTTAAGTGCATACACATTCCGTATTATCGCACTTCGTACACGCGCCGAATAAAAAAAAAACTATAGATCAAAGAAGGAATATGAGTAGTAGGATGAAGAGAGCAACTCAATCGACGTTCAATCTGCGAGTAACTTTCGTTCATTAGCCAACACTCAGTATATTAGTTTGTTTGTTCATGTGTGTATAGAAATCTGCGTCCACTACTTTGTATGTAAACATACAATGAGCCGCCGTATCGTATGATTTTAGTACCCTACAACTCGCATTGCCAGTACTATAGAGCGTTTAGATAAAATGATTGCAAATTTTATAATATAAGACAGTCAAAATTTAAGAAATTGAAAAAAAGAATGCTAAAGTCAAAAAAGTTTGGCAAATTTTTTTTTTCAGATGCAGTCTTGTTACAGTGAAAAAATATACATTAAAATTAACATTCAAATATTGTTGACTTTGATGAAGATTATTTCGTATCAACAGAATTTTACCACACGAATTTATTATAAACAAACTTTCAGCAATTTTGTTAAATAAAATAAAGTATTTTGAACTGATTGATTAAATATTTAATAAATAGCAACAATTTAAAAAAATTAAAATAAAATAAAAATAGTAAAAAAAAAGATAATTAAAAAAATTAATTTTACGTAAAAAAATAAATTAATAAAATTGCAAATTTACCGTAATTATTTTATCTACATATATATGTACGTACCGCTTTTTAGTCCAGCATTTCTAAGAGAAAAATGTTTCTACAAAAATCCAGACAATTTTTTTATTAAACTGAAGCGTTTAGTATATTAAAGTTTTGGTATTTTAAATATGCAACTTTTATTTTTCTAATTATGTTTTTATCATTACTATTGCGACCTTTTCGGTCAATCTGTGAGATAAATTATTGTAAAGATATTCCAACTTCCAGTTGATATTACACCGCATATATTGTTCAATAGGTGCTTCAGGTTAATGAAATTGAAAGATCGTGTTACTCTGTATCTGCCTAAACTGAATAAAATCGTGTGAAAACTTGCCCTAGACCCCATATAACTAATATCAGAATTATCAAACATCTAGTTGACTTTATTCCTTAAACATATGTATATTGGTGATGGTATGTGAGATACCTTAATAAAATTCAAGGAGCATCTTTTTCTGTTAATAATATGTTTTAATGTTGAAAATAGAACAAAAACCTCAACCCTGTATCGACCCCGACATACCAAATATATGTTCAGCGTGCAATGAGTCCCCGCATGCATACCCAGCGAACCCCACACATCTAACACCCTTGTCGCTATGGTCGGACCCCGTGGAAATAGCACATTTCCTAGGCCGTTAGATGCTTTCGATGACAACCAACGCGAACCTTACCACCCAAGCGGGGGTTAGATAACCGCTACAACAACAATAACATTAGTGTTGGTCTCGACTTTGGCTTAACCCCATATCACTAAGATAATGAATTCCGATCCTCTGGTTGACGCTTTCCACATAAACTCAATATATTAAATTTAGCCTCTTCGGTTGACTTTAAATCACATATATCCGATTTCAAAAGGATTTTAATGTAATTTTAGTTGACACGAAGTAAATATAGCAATAAAACTAAGTGAGTTTATGACCCATTCAGGATTTCATTGAATAATGAATGCTGAATTCTTCACCTGAAGGTTTTTCGCAGGCTTTTGATCCTTGCAAGTTGGAAGAGTATAAAATGTTCGGTTACACCCGAACTTAGCACTTTCTTACTTGTTTTATTTTGTATTTCATCAGCTGAAGCTGCAATTTTTTTAAATAACTCAAAAGCTTAGAAACAAGTATTTTATTTCAATTAGTATTTATTCTACACCTCCGACGCAGCAATATTGACCATGCTCTTGATAAGCCCAATGTTAGAGTTCAAAATAATGCATTTATTTTGGCTGATTTTCACGTGTATTTATATATCGCTTGCATGAAAGCCCAAAATTCCAGGGACAGCGTGTCTTTCTTATCATGCCAAAGAATTATAAGCGGATGTTCATCATTCGAATATACATAAATATCTAATTAACGTTAGATTGGAGTTCTTCTCTCAAATATAATAAAATTTTAACAGATATTTTAACAATACTCAAATTAGCAATTCAACCATTAGATGAAGTAATCATTACGTAGTAGGGAAATAGGTTTTCATATAACCGAAGTTATTTGAAAATATCAGATACGCAGTGATATATAAACAAAAAATCCAGATACAGTGTTGTGCATAACATATGCAGCAGATTAATAGGTTAAAAATATCCCATAAAATAAAGCATAAAACATTAACATGCTGTTACAACAAAGGCAATAGAAAGTTTCATCAACATACGCTCTTTTAAAAGCCTTAAAACTTACGAAGTTTATCCACTTTCAAGTCAGAAAAAACTCGCTCTTTTGTGAACTTTTATTTTTAATGGGCATTTCGTTTAATAAATAAAATTAAAAAAAGTGCATTTACAAAATTTCGTGTACTTTAATAAACGTTGATACATTTTTTAAAATTTTGCATTCACTTGTACCCCCAGCCGATCTCCAGCAGGACCTTCGAAAAAAAGGTGTCTAGCGGTGAGCAAAATTTTTCTGCTTAAAATTGTCTGCATTCCAAAGACCATTATTATCCCAGTTGAATTATAATGATCGAAGTACTAGTCAAAATCGAAAACAGGAGATTGTGGTGAAAATTTACCTTTCAGAGTGGCTTAAAAATCGAAATTACTACATACTATATTAAAATCTTATTACTTCGATCATTACCACATATTTATATCTAAGAAGGTTGTGTAAAAATTTCCAGCCGATCAGTGCGGCCGTTTTGGGAGAAAATTTGCTCACCAACTCTGAAATCATCGTGTTACTGCTGCCTGTAGCATTGTGCTACTGTTGTCTGCAACATTGAAGGTTTTGTTTCTTTTAAATTGCATAAATATATTTTATTATAATATATAATATAATAATATATATATTAATTTTTTATTATTATTATTATTTTTTTTTTGTTTAAGAAATATGTATTTTATATAACAACTGCGTCATTATCAGTTGCATGTGTTTTGCACATTGTTGTATACTAACATCCTCATCCCCAGCATCGAACTGTTTGAATTTTTGTCTAACCTCAAAATAAGCACTACACGGTACATATAAATTTTGAGTTTTTCTTGCAAGTTTTAACTAACCTAATCGAACGTTTTAACCAAATATGTACAATCATTACTATAAGGTAATCTAACAGTGTCATATCTTCCTAAAAAACTGCTTAGAATCAGCGCATCTGCCGAAATTTGAAATACTACCATTGTTACTCTACAATTTTTACGTACATATTTTCAAGCAGCTGGTATTTTAACGGCAAACACCTGTATATACCGTTATACATAAATATAATCCCAAATACTATCTGTCGTTTAAACCTGTCAACGCTCTTTACATGTTTTCATATTTCGTTACTCGTGTACTCGGAAAAAACGTTACGATCTCAGGTCGAACCAAACCAGTGCACAATTGTGTCATTAACTCCAACATCTTTATTATGTATACAACAACTTCGCAAAACCCGATCACCTCAAAGGTAAGCAAGTAGAAAAGTAAACATGCATACATAATTTGTTGCGTATTTACGTAAGTGCATGTACGCAAAGGAAAATAAACACACGCAAAAAATGCTGTAGCTAACTACAGTAGAGCGTAATACAACAAATTTTTGTTGAAGAACCTACGAAACTGCAAGCCGTAACATATATAATATACATATATACAGAGTATAGCACACGTAAAAGCTACATGTAAAATCGTCTGACTTTTGCTCGGCACTAGCGCTCTTTCGGCTGCTTGCTTAATCTCACACTTTTACCTTATATATACTACATATGTATGTATGTTTGTATGTTTGTAGACATTTCATTTGAATAACTAAAAACGTATATAATATAAATATGTAAATTGTTTATACCTATTCATATCTATATACATACATATGTACATATGTAGTTACTTGGAGCGCGCCCGGCTTACCCAGCCATGCCATGATCGTTGTGCATTCAAATGTTCAGCACGCGCGCTCGCGAACAGTCGTCTTTGCGTTTCCATTAAGCCATTTGTGGTTGATCAGACAAACGTGTTTCAAATGGTGTGACTTTGAGTGAAAGAAATTTGAAATAAAAGAAATCGCTACGCTCAACCGCGAACACAACATGTAAACGAGTATAAGTGGCATTTGAAACGCTGGAATAACATAGATTGCGCGAAACGTTGCCCAAAGTTGGCGAAATTTTTCCTTTTTATATTTTGTGAAAGTCTAGTGTGAGAAAAAATTCAACAACAAATAGGCATATGATGCTGGTGAAAGGATTTACAAGAAAGGATATTTAAAAAAACCGAAAAAAATTTAATATTAAAAAATCAATCATTAGAAGACACTGTTTTTTATTTGACGCAATAAAAATAACCAACAATTTCTTAAATAAAAAAAAATCTAAAAATTATTTTTTCCACAACAAAAAGTTGCATGTAAAATGTGCAAAAGCTTTTTGCAAGTAACAGACTAAAAACTATTAAATTAAAAATAATATAAATTTATTCCAAAAAATTTTCACTGTGATATTTTTCTACCATTCGGCTACCCGCAAGGCAACGTAGCTGCTATTTATACATATATAAAATAATAATTTTTTTTAAATTTAATTCAACCAAAAGTTCTTAGTTTTAACACAAAATGAAAGTGCCCGCGAAAGACTCGAAATATTCCATAAATTTGAAAATTTTCAAATTGCAAAACTACAGCACCGCGCCGAAAATGTGCGGCGGCAGTGATAAAAAATCACCGTCACCCACAAATAGCACAGCGCCTGCCGTGCTCACCAAGCGCAACTCTTGGCGTGCTTCGTGGAAATTTTCAGCTGCCAAACAGCAACAGAAACAACAGCTGTCCGAGTCCACACAGCAACCAGAATGCGAATGCGACGCTGAATTGCCGGCTGATAAGAGCAATCATTTGGATAGCAACAATGACTCATCAATTGCCGCTGACAATCGTTCACAACATTGGGCGGATGCCTTGGAACGCATCTCGACGCCGCCAAATGTTGAGTGCGAAAATAGGCCGGCAGCGCAGCAGCTGAATCGTGAACTTGATGAATTTATGTGTGAGTTTTATTTTTTACAAAATGAATTAACAAAAAAAGCAAATGAAAACAAATACAATAACGCGCCTACTTTAAGAACCGTTGAACCGTCGTCTGCGCCACTTGGAGTGCATTTCAAAGGTCCACTGCACTTACTTCACAATATTTTGATACACATATTTATGTATATAATTTTGGTATGCGTTTTAAAATTCATTTTGTCTCTCATGAAATTTTAATTTTCATGTGTACACTGCATGGCACGCTCCGCTCGCGAGCCAATGCCTTTCGTCTGCCGAATAAAGGTCAGCATTTGCTGATAAGGCATCGCCTATTTAATTATTACTATTGCACTTAATCATGGAAATTTGGAATTATATTTAGTCAATGCATAGAAGAAAGCAATGAAAGCGAATTTATAAAATTTTATTTTATTTCAAAACATAAGCGCAAGTTCGAAAATTCGTCTCGATAACTTTTGTCGAAATCAATTTTTGCTTTAAGCCTCTTTCTTGTTCCAAATATGATTTAAAACGTAAGAATATAAAACTCTTGCCCCTTTTAGCATCGAAATAAATGTTTTTGAAATCAATTTTCAAATTTCATTTATCAACAAGGACTTTAGTCGCAGTCTAATTTATATAATTTTCACTTCAGGGCTGTGTTCCGTGTTCCTATTCGGTTTGAGACGTAGAAAAATACAATTTCTGGCACTTTTAGTATCGAAAAAATGCTTTTAAAAGCTTATTCGAATTTCACTTATTAACAAGTCCTTTTTTTTTGCGAATTGAAATGATTTTCACTTTAGGCCTGTGTTCTGCGTGTGTTACTTTTCGGTCTGAAAATAAAAGTTCAAATCTTGACTATTTTATCATCGAAATAAGTGTTTTCGAAATAATTTTCGAGTTTAATTCTTCATTTCGATTTCAACAAACTTTAAAACGAAATTCAATCCTGTGTTCTGTTTTACTATTCGGTTTGAAAATTAATAAGGTACAATTTCTGACCTGTTGGGATCTTATAGGTAGTGTATTAGCTTTCGAAATCATTTTCGTATTTCATTCAAACAAGTTTGGAAATTTCTTTACATCAAATCATATATGTACGTTTCTTTTTAGATATTACCTAGCTAAATTATTTCTTCGGTCTTTCGTCATTTATTGATTTCACTATGACACAAATATACATACATATATTAATATACGCGTATTTTTGTAGCATATCCCTAGGCGGTAGAGCCCCATTTTGCAAAACTCTGCTTTCATTGTAAAATTTTTAAGTTCGATTATTGAAGGCTTGAAGCTTCAATGGCAGAGTAATGAACTCATCTTTCTATATTTTAATAAAGAAATAAATGTTCTAAGATAATGAAATTTCACTATCTAAGTATTAAAATTTTTATTTTTGGATCTATTGCTTTCTAGATAAGCTGAAAATTAAACTTTCTTAAGCCTTCAACTACCTAATATAAAAACTTAATGTTGTTATAAATGATATATGCAAATTTAAGAAATTATCAGTTGTTTATTTAGTGAAAAAAATTATTCAAAAAAATCTGAATTTATTTAGTGTTTAGTTTTACTTCACTAAAGCTGTGCTCTATGACCAAAGTTCAATTACGCTTGCACTTATTTACATAGCCACTTCTCAATCCAACATTGTTTCATTCAAATTCGCCCAATAAGCTAAAAGATTATAAGTGTTATTCCATAATCGCATGATTATTTGTGTTTGTATTCACAGCAGCACGCAGCCACCGCCTGAACGCGTGTGCTGGAATGATAATTTAAACAAAAATCAATATGAATCATTGCACTAGCGGAAGAAGCTTTGATTTGTAGAGCACTACAATTTACGCTTGCTGAATGAAACTTTCCAACTTGTTTATTTATTTTTTGCATCATTCAATTAAATTATCAGCAGTTTGGATCCTGAGAATGCTTGTAAACATAGAATTTTGCGAATTTAATTTTTGTCGAATTTTTAAAAGTCATGCATTGTTTACAACAACGAATCATAATAAATAATAACACAGCGTGTGCACGCACTACCTTACTGAAAATTGAGATTTTGTATTGTAGTTTTCGTAGTGTTTCTATTTTATTTTTCATTCATGTATTTTACAGTTAATTTGTGTTACTTTAAAAAATATATATAAGTGTTAAAGTACCTTCCGAAAAAATTCAGTTATGCAAATGCATTTATTGCTCTCAATATCAAAGTACATGGCGGTCGTAAAGCACTTATCACACATTTCATTCCGTTGTGTCTTTACTATTCTAATACCCGCTCACAATGATTTGCATTAAAGTGTTATAACTTTGTATGTTTGACGTTACCGCTTGCTGTATAACAAAAATATATTTATTAAGCGTGTATGCTTTTATAAACTTAAGTGTGCCAATATGATCCGCATACATAAAGCAATTGATTTAGTCATGGTAATTCATAGCTCATATTTAAGGGGCACACCTAGTGTGAAATTTGGAAAAAATTATTTTTTTCATATTTCGATAGTGTATACCTTTTAAAATAACACACTATCATTTCAGCGAGATCTCAAATAATTTTCGAGTTTCAGCCTTTTAAAGGGTTGCCACTCAATTCAATCCGGTCCACCAGTATATTTTTAAGCGCGTTTTTCTTTAAACAATATTTTTCGAATTTCCTGCAGTAAGAACTCGATGACAATTTTTTGTGCCTGTTCTGTATATAATTCCACATACTATGACTAAATCGACTTTTTAATCTGATCTAAACTTGTGGTATAATTAAACTTTTAGAAATTTCTTTCTATTAGAAAATATGTATTATATATTAGACTTTTAGCTGTTATATATACTTGCAAGTCAGATAAAACGCGCTTTTTTGTGAATTTTGTTTGAAAAGATATTTTATTTAATAAATAAAATTTAAACTTGTGCATTTACAAAAGTTAATGTACTTTAATAATCGGTGATTCATTTTGAAACCCTTGAACCGATCTCCAGGAGGACCTCCAAAAAAGTGTTTGGCGGTGAGATAGAGCTTAATATTATCTCATCTGTTTCTTCACAACTCCAAAAAATATCTAATTCAATAATCCGAACTTTGACACTTTCTTCCTTTTTCTCTCTTTAAATAAAATTTATGTATTACATTTTGCTGACAAATGCTGATAGATCTAAGAGCAATGCATATGGGTTGCTACTTTGTTTTGTACAGTTTCGAAAAAATAAATACATTATTAAGACTAAAGTTAGAATGAAATTTTTTTAGACCTAAATTTGTAACTGTAAGAATAAGTTTCGACGACAAACTTTGCTATGCAAAACTTTTATGTCAGAAAAGTTCCTTTCGTCTTCTTCTCTGAGTTCTTTACTGAAAGCTACATCCCCATTATTTGTGTTCGCATTGTTTTATGGCCTAAGGAATATAAGGAATATAAGGTATCTGCACAAAATTTAACATTGGTTATTGTCCAAGGCAATAATTGCCATCTCCGAAGAAATTTAGATCGAATAACTACAGCATATAGCTGCCAAACAAACTGAACGATCGGAATAAAGTTCTTTTATTCTTTTGGAATTTTTTGCATTTGTGTAAGGGTATTATAGCTTCGTTGCAACCGAAGTTAAGGTTTTTTCTTGCTATTGTATATGTAATTTATATTCCATTGTAGCGACTAATAACCAGTTTTTTCGCTGTTTCTTCTAATTCAATCATTGATTTGATAAGAAACCTTATCAACATTTAATTATCAAAATGCCAATTCACTTGCAATACTACTGTGTAAAATACATATATGTACTTACATATGTACATGTATGTATATAGTATAAATCCATTATATCTCCAAGCGCTGCACTTTTCGCCATTGTGGGCTTTGCTAGTTTCCTACCTTAGTCCGAACTTAATAGAGTTCTTTAATTGTTAACTGGTTGGCCATTAAAAAGACAACTTATACATATATGTATGTAATATACATATGTACATATCATAGTTGATATTTACTGTCCATTGCCCTTACGAGAGGTCGCGTTAATCATATACTTGTACATGCCCACATATACATTTATATGCACAACACTGTATTTAGTAAAAAAGCAAGCGCTGTGCTTTTGCCGTACTGCTAACACATTTAGTTGTCAATTGTCGCTGACCGCGTACAAAAGCTGTGCCACATATAAGTGTTGTTTATTTTTTAGAAATGTTTATAACCTAAAATAAAAATAAATGTAAATTTAATATAACTCTTTTTATGATTTTGTCTGTGATTTGTTTTTTCTTTATAAATTGACTGGAAAACTTGTTGTGTTTAACTCAAATGCCTACTCAAAGTGCAACTAACCTCAAATATTAGTTTGCTACATATAAAACGTATTGTTGTTGTTGTCAGCGAGTTGCATATAGGCTACCTTTGTGGCAATTATAAATTTTATTTCTATAAATCCGCGCATTTTACGTCTACGCTTTACAATCGCTGTAGGCTTATCTAACGATCATCTATCGATAAGTTATGCTATAATTTCGCGCGCTCGCTCGCCACAGCTGTCTGTTTGTTTGTGTTTTGAGCGGTTTCGCTACAAAGGAAGTGTTTTCGAAATTTCCTCGAATGTTATGCAAATCTTTATATACATAAATATTATTTTAATGCATAAGTGAATTAAATATAATTTTGAATCATATAAAATAGTGAGCGCAGAGCAAAATGCATTTAGAAGCTGCTTTGGAACTTTTACGCACAGGTGACTATTGTTAGTATTGTTTTTACACATACCGCTAGTTAATAATTCACATATTTTTATATCTTTAGGTGTTTTTATAACAAAAAAAATTTATTTTGAGGTTATGCTTGTATTTCAACTAAAATAAAATATTTCGAATTCTTCAATGGTGCTTTATTTTACTTGTAAAGCATAAAAGCTTCTTGAGAGTGTACAAAATTTCAGCGCGATATCTGAAAATATGTCGGGCAAGTTCGCATATATACAGGACATGGCTATATCGACTCAGCTCGTCACACTGAGCATTTTATGGGTCTCCGACGTTTTCTACTGCATATTACAAACTTCGGTGGCAAACTTAATATACCTTATTCAAAGTATAAAAATTGAATTTTTGAGGTTATGCTGGTTTTAGATTATCTGTCTAATATTTCACGTTATTGCTTCACAAATGTGTGTTATTGTGTATATTAATTATTTATTTGTAAATTATTCCTCAAATATGAGTGATTCGAGTTCTACTTCTGAGATGGAAAAAATTAAATAAAATTGAATAAAATATTTTTTTTGTAAGTTTTCATCTCTTGAATGGAAATTTTTTAGTTTAAAGCTGAATAATCTTTTTTATACATATATAAGCATAAATATATTAAAATTCTTCTGTTGTTATTTTTTTACCGCAATAATCGCTATATTATATTTTTGGACTTCTGTCATTACCTCCAAAGCGTAAATAACAAAATAATTCGGCAATAAACTAGAAATTACATATATTGCGTTAATCATATCTGCCAATATTTTACTTTTCACTTATCAATTCAAGTACTAAACCAAACAATCCGATTTGATAGTTTTAAATATTGCCTAATACAAAGCTTGCCGTTTATCAAATAAAACTACTAAATGTCATGAAAATATATCGGACTTACATTGCCATTATACTAATCGCAGTGCTGCTAATCGGAGATCTCAGTAATTTGACAATGTGAGCTGTTTTTTTAACACAAATATCGTGACTGCTTAACAAGCATGACTCTTTGACATTTTTTGTTTACTTAAGCAGCCTTTGTGACAGAGTCTAACAGTGCTAAATTTGTCAGAGCTCATACATACATATATGAATAATTACGAAACATTTGTACCGGTTAAATGAAAGTTGTCGAACGTTGATATAAAAACACATTGAATATTAATAAAATATAGGTTATTTATATTAATGAATATGACATTTAGTCGTGTGTAAGGTTATTAATAGCGATCATTTATAATTATTCTGAAAACATTTACTCAAACAAATCTTGCTTAAGTTTCAATAAAAACAAAACAGTCGGTAAAAGAGTTTAGTATTTTTTTTCCGTGCATTAATATATATTTCTCATTTTTTTATTATACTAAAAACATATGCGCTATAGTTACATATATTACTTAAATAATTATTTGATTTGTTACTTCCCACTTCTAACTTACGAATATACTCGTATAAAATGTCAATTTAAACGGTTAAAATTTAAAATTACAGCTGTAATTACCTTAAGCCTTATTAAACACACCTTTTAAATGTCAATACTGTTAATTATTCACATTTTTATGGCACATTATAAAAAAATGTGATAAAATGCTTAATTGCCATGACAAAGTGCTTAAGATAGCAATGACGTTTCGTTTTACAATCTGTCAAAGAAATGACATTATGCTTAAATGCTAAACCTGTCAAATATACTGTTCTGCATACCTGTTTTTCCACATTAATTATGCATACATATATCTGTTTTCCTTTATATACATAAATATGTACAAATGTTTAAATATATATGCACTCAAATACCGTTACTAACATTCCTTCAATGTTGTCTTATAATTACAGCAATGCCTTGGTTCGGCATGGATATCGGCGGTACACTTACAAAGCTAGTCTACTTTGAACCAAAGGATATAACACCCGATGAACAGGATCAAGAGGCTGAAATTCTACGAAATATACGTCGTTATTTAACCAAAAATTCCGCCTATGGCAAAACGGGGCATCGTGATACACATTTACAGGTGAGTGCGTGAGTGAGCGGTAGTACTTTATTTTACCCCCTGTCATTTTCGCATAATAAGATATTTACTTAGTATTTAGCGCCATATTATAGTCAAAATTGGTTGGCTGCTTCCGCTCAAAGCTAAAAATATTACTTTCTATTGTATTATTTGAAGTCATTGACCATTGTGGACTGAGCTAGACTTACTTACATGTGCTCAAGCGTGTGTACTTCAGAGGATTGTCATAAATTGAAGCCAAAACGTGGAATTTGATATTTTTTTAAAGTATCAATATTATTGTGAAGGTTTCTCTTTGCATTGAATTCTTGGTTTACCTTTTCTAGAAAAATAAATAAAATTGTTGATAATAAATTTGAATAAAAATTCGTGTATTAGAAAATATGGCAATATATCATATTGATTTTTTTTTAAGGATAAATACCAAAAAAAATATCTAAACAAAATTACAAAAAACCAAAAAAAATTTTTTTTATATCAAAAAATAATTAAAAAAAATGTTTTTATATAATATAAAAAAATTAAAAAAAAAGTTTAAAAAAATATATATGTTTATTAAAAAAAATTTTTTTTTTAAATAAAACAAATTTTGTGGTGTAATGTAAAGAAAAGTAAAAAAAGTTAAAACAATATATATGTATATTTAAAAAAAAATTAGAAATATATACAATTTATAAAATCTGGATTTGTAGAAAATAATATATGTATATACATATATTTGGAATATTTAGCTCAATCACGCATCTACCAAGTCATAGTAATACAATGTTTAGTTACGCATATGAAACTTGGCGCACCCTGTATTATTAGTACCATACATGTACATATGTATGTAGGTATGTATGTATATACATATATCTACTCATTAAAAAATTACATAAAGTAAATTAAACATTTGCTTCCGTGAAAGCCGCAAATATTTATTTTAATAACTTAACTTTACTTAAACTCTAATTACTCAATTAAAAATATTTTTAAATTTGTACAGTCAATTTCCTAACAATTTGTTCGTATATTTGTTTTTTATTTTTTTACACTCTCCACACGCATTCACATGCTAATTTAGCAAATCTCTTTGTTGTTTTTGTGATTATTACTTTGTCTATTGACATTTACATTGCATTATATCATTACGAGTATTATTTATTTTTTATTGTGTTTCTATTAGTGACGCACGTGGAAATAGTTTTTTATGTTTAAACACCTAATGCCATGCCCATTAAGTGGTGAAAAATAAATAAATTGGAAGAAATTTGCTTACGGTAAATACAATAACCATTATAACCCTTGAGTTCAACGCATTTAGTCAAGTGCTTTTAAATTTTATTTATTTATTTCCTAAGCTAAAGCAATCCTTTACTTTAGTAGCAGCAGAACTTATATAATTTTTTTAAATTAATTTTTACGTTATATCAATACTATTTTATAATTTTTTTTTTAGTGCTATAAGGTTTTAGTAGTTTTTCAGTTTTGACATTTACGAATCACTTATAATAAATAATGCTATAGGTGAGAACAAGTTTACACAAAAAATAATAAAAACATTAACCAAAATGTGTTGCGTTAAACCATAAGGGATGATAAACCCTTCGTGTCGTGAACAAGCAGCTGCCAAACACCTTGCTGAGAGCAAATTTGGTCTAAACCCTGCCTTCCTTTAAATACAATATATATTTTCCGCTTTCGCGCCCCTTTGAGTACCTTCACATAAATTTATATACCCTATATACCCACTTCGGCCATTAGCTATTTATTATGCGTAGTCTTTTAATTGTATACAGTGATCCAATAGTTATGCAATTCCATATTTACATATGTACATCTATACTATATTCAAATATACCTATATGTATGTAGAGTCATGAATTTTAAAATGCGTCTAGCACATTTGCATACATTTGTATGTATTTGAGTTTAAGTACATATATGAATGTATGTAATTTCACTGTTACCAGGCAATTTTAAATATTTTTTCGTGTCCTGGTTTGCTTATCCGCTATTAACGTAATTTTGACATTTTTAAATTATTGACATGTTCTATATATACTTCCCCATACAATGACCAACCAGCTTAAAAACGACCAAAATTCTGGATGAAATTCAACTTAAAAAGAAAAAGCCGCCATTTTGTTAATTTTTGATGTTTTTTTGGCCCTAGGTTATTATTCATTCAAAAATTTGACTATGTATTCTTAAAATATGTATAAACACACCCTTACAATTTTGAAACCATTGATAAAACAGTTTATTTTCGCCTTTTTAGGCTGTCACGCTAAGTGTGCCTTAAGTTTTCCATTCAACAATTCAAAAAAAAATCTTGCAAAAATTATTCTTGTCAACATCGAACCTTAGTTTAGCGCCTTTTTGGTTCTTTTGTGGCTCTGTTTCGAAAAGCTCACAAAAGCTCACTATTCTCTTCCGTATTTAGCAGTTTTCAAAATTAGTCTAATACTGTTATTAATTTACTTCCCTGTTAAATTTCGTCTTGTTGGCTCAAAATCTGGAATACAACCAATTCCTCTGACTTTTAACTAAATATTTACTTTTAAAGCTTAATCTCTTACGTCTTCGACATTACTTTTTTTCTTTCGACACATTTTCCCATAATCCTTATTTTCTAATCTAGTTAAGCCTCAGCTAATCTAGTATGTTCTTACAGCCTCTACGTACTCTTACAACCTCACTACTTCATACAAGTAAATGCGTCTTTACTTTCATCTTTGGGGATTTTTGGGATACTTCGGAACTATAGTTTAAGTGCTTTGGTATTTGGTGAATCTTATTGGCTGAGGAGACTAGTATAATAGCTTCGGTGTTTTGCTAAAACCATAATGTTATATATTCTAGGTTCTCAATAAAGACCTGGTCTTTCGTTTGTCATAGTTTTTTAACCTTAAATAAAAAATGTTCTCTTTTTTTTATGAAACACTTAAAATCTATTTTTAAAAACCAATGTTACAGTATAGTAAGTCATTTTAAAAATATTCTGTTAAATTTTTATGGAGAAATATTAACATATACGGCATTGGCAGCCATTACTCTGCAGCGCCTCGGATAAAAGTTGAATTGCGGTGCCCCGCATTAAACGCTGCTAGAACATCTGAAATCAAAAAATCAAAAATATATCGTTAGGTAATCGCTTTGTCCAGATAAGTCTGGTGGGTTTTTCGAAATTTCAATTTTTAACATTTTTAGGAAACCATGAGGGAAAAACCGCAAAAAAAATTCGGTTGATTTTTTATTGTTAAATGGTTTGAAAAATTTCAAAAAAATCACTTTACAGGAAATGCTATTTGAATGAACAATATTAATTTAAAAAAAGCTTTGTTGATTCCATTAAATTTGCATACCTACACAATTATATACTGTATGCATATTTATACTTATATTTACACACATACTCACCATTTGCTAAACATATTCGAAGCTGCAATACAATCATCAAATTTATGTATATCGGTCAACTTCCGTCGTGCGATGCTGAACTTAACAAATTTAAGCTTGAAAGAAAAAGCTCAGCTCTTGGCTAATCAGAAGTCACAATCTCTTATTGATTTATGCATTGCATTAATTTGAATTAAGTGTTCATTATACCTAAGCTCATGCGCGCTGCTTCGAAACAACGCAAAATGCACATACGTGAGTGTGTATGTATATAGGTGTCCAAACGCGCATAGAATGTATGAAAATTTTAACTACACCAGTGTTTTTGTTTTTTGTATTGCATTTCTGCTCCAATGTCAGCACTTGACCTTGCACAGTGCAACCGAATGACACTTTACACAACGCTTGTAAAACAAAACAAAAAAAAGGGAAGAGCAAAAAAAAAATGAATGAACTCTTATAAAAATACTTTTCCCTTTCCTTTTTTCAGATGGACAACGTTGAGATACGTAAACGCCGTGGCTCATTGCATTTCATCCGCTTCCAAACCACTGACATGAGCAATTTCCTCCTGTTGGCCAAACAAAAGGGCATGGCCGAACTGGTGACCACCGTTTGTGCAACGGGTGGTGGTGCATTCAAATTTGAGAATGAATTCCGGCAGGTGAGTGTGAACAAAAAAAGAGTCGTTTTTGCTGCAATAACAACATATACTAACTTTCCATTAGCCTAACAATATCTACGATTCTTGCTTTGACATTTTTTAAATAATATTACAAAATGTTTAATAATATTACATTTTTTAATAAAATTAAATTTTTTTCTTCTCTCCTCTGCAGCAAGTCAACATGAAACTCGCCAAATTCGATGAACTCGACACGCTCATCAAAGGCATACTCTTTGCCGAGGTACAAAATCCCACAGAGTGCTATTTCTATGAGAATGCCCGTGATATTATGTGAGTAGTCAGTATTATTTTTGCTTTGATTTTTTAATTTTAATTATTTTCATCTTTATTTTTGTCTTGCAGGAAAAGTGAAAAACGCGCTTTTGATTTCTCCAAACCATATCCTTTCATATTGGTTAACGTCGGCTCGGGTGTGTCGATATTGGCTGTTTATGGACCAGACAATTACAAGCGTGTCTCAGGCACAAGGTACTTGAGTCGTTATTATTATTATTTTGACATTATTATAAGTTGAATTATCAACAATATAGAACATTTGCAAAATAAGTATGTATGTGTATTCATATATAGTAAAGATATTTATTCAAGTTTTCGACTGAAAAAATTAAATAAGAAGAAAACGTCGGAGACGCCTAGAGTATGTAGGGTAGATAATACCATCACGAAATTTTACATGAAATATTGTCCAAGACAAGACTACAATCTCCAAGCATATTGTTCAGATCGGAGCAGTATTAATATTAGAGCGTCATCGATGCTTTTCTTTCCCTGCAAAAAATTTTTAGCGTAATTCTTTTCATATTTTTGAAGTTAAAATAAGATAACTTCCGAAATGAGAAAGCAGCAGGTCAATACAAAAATCATTTCATACGTTAATCAAAATTACATATTTTTATGGTTGATTATATGCTCAAAACAAAAGAAACTGTATTAATAATTGTATATTTTTTTATTACTGTTTACAGTTTGGGCGGTGGTACATTCCTTGGCCTATGTTGCCTACTAACCGGCTGCAACTCATTCGAGGAGGCTATACAGCTTGCAACAAAGGGTGACAATCGTAAAGTGGATAAACTGGTGCGTGATATTTATGGCGGTGATTATGATCGATTTGGCTTAACGGGAGATTTAGTGGCGTCAAGGTATACATAAAAAAAAAATATGCGCGCTTTCATAGACAATACTAATTTTCAACTCATTGCTATTTATTCATAGTTTTGGACAAATGCACATTAAGGATAAACGTTCGTCAGTGTCGCGTGAGGATTTGGCCAATGCCACACTAGTAACAATTACCAATAATATTGGTTCAATTGCACGCATGTGTGCGCTGAATGAGAAAATGGACAAGGTAAGATTTTTTATGCCCGGAACAGTGTATATTCAGTTTCTAACAACCAAAAAGTAACGTGGGAGACCTTAAAAAATATAGGTATATATGTATGTGACGAGCAGAGACGATTTAGCCATGTCCGTATATTCTCTATATACGCAAACTATGCCCTCAGTTTTTAAAATATCGCTCTGAAATTTTGCACGCGTCCTTTTCTCCCCAAGAAGCTGCTCATTTGTCAGAGCCGGCGATATCGGATCACTGTAGCATATAACTGCCATACACACTGTACGACGCAAATCGAGTTCTTTTAAGGAAAACTTTTTTATTTGACAAGATATCTTCAAAGCAATCATACTGTATCCGAATTATTTTGTAGATCGGACCTCTATATCAGATAGCTGTCATACAAACTGAACGATTCAAATCCAGTTCTTGCATGGAAAAGTTTTTTATTTGACAAGCTATCTTCACGAAATTTATCATGGACTATTTTCCATGGTAACGGTGCAATCTACGAAAAAATTGTGCAGTGCGGACCACTATATCATATAGCTGTCATACAAACCGGCTGATCAAAATTAGGTTCTGTTATGGAAAGTTTCTTATTTGTGAAGGTTATTCTAGCGTCGGTGCAACCGAAGTTAACATTTTTTCTTGTTTTTCATTTGTTTGCAGCTAAAACTAGTAAATTTGACTTTGCAACTAAATTTATGCCTATATTTTTCTTCTATATTTTAAATTTAGGTCGTATTTGTGGGCAACTTTTTACGTGTAAATCCGATTTCAATGAAATTGCTTGCCTATGCCATGGAATTCTGGTCAAATGGCACACTCAAGGCGCTCTTCCTCGAACACGAAGGCTATTTCGGTGCATTAGGTTGTCTTTTGCAGTTCAATGGTGAAATTGCGGCCGCTTTGAATGAGACTACAGAAACGTCACAACAAACACAAAAAACCGATACGACAGCCGAGAATATTTCAAGTAGCATAAATTCCACAACTTCGCCACACAGTAATAATACTAATAATAGCGATAGTTGAAGTACGGGGACTGCTGCTAATATGTATTTTTTTTAGTTCGTAGCTCAAAAAAATGTTAATAGAAAAAGAACTAAAAACGAATAATACAACAAATGCTTGAAAGTAACAAAATACAACTATGTACATGTACTAACGAAAAAGACAAGACACAAGCAAGCAAAATCATAATCAAAATAAAGTTAATTAATAATACATTTTTTTATGTGTTAGAATAAAAAAACAAAAATATGTATGTAGTTTTTACGTATGTATGTATATTTAATTAATAAAAGAAAACAACAACAATAAAGAAATAAAATAAAATAAGTTGGTAAAGAGCAGACACACACGTCCATAAGCTGAATATTTAATTTGTATATAGATTATAACAAAAAACTTAGGAGCAAAGTCCAATAATCGACGCGGGGCGTCTATTTAATAAAAAACTAAAGAAAAAAATAAATTTTCAACGAATTATTAATAAAAATCACTTAATATTTATGCACATAAAGTAAAGCTTAAATGCGCAAACATTTATTGTTGTTACAAAAACACACATGCTTTGTAAAATACAGGGGCCGGATTTTCAGCGTATTTTTCTTTATTCAAAAAACATTTTTTCCTATTATCAAATGAAATGCACACAATTTAAACTTATAACTTAATAGTAACTATTGGTAAAGTTATTAAGTAAAAAATATACATATAATATTTAAGAGAAAAATTGCACAAATGGCATTAATAAGTAATATTAAAAAGATTAAAATTACTTATAATTAAACTAGATAATTAATGAGTTATAAAAAAATTAAGCAAGCAGTTGTGTATAAAAAAATGGTTGGTCAAGCAATTAGCAGACTTTAAGCGCAAAAAATTTATATTGAAGGTACAAGCCTGATAAACTGTTGAATGTTTTTAATAAAATTATTTTATATACATAAATTGCAGAGTTTTGAAACAATTTATTAATTTCATATACTTTTTTAAAAGCATGGTTTTTTTTTAATGTTGAGGAGAAGATATATTGTGGTAACTTAAATTTTTTTGTTCAATACTTGTAGCGAAACTTCAACATTAAATATTGCTGAAGAGGAGGGATATTGTGTTAAAAAAATTTTTTTTTACAAATCTATTGTAAGAAAATGTAAGCCGCTTAATATAGATTACTTTTTTCAGTGTAGAGGAGATTTTCTCATAGTATATACTTACAAGCAATTTCTTTTAGTGTAAATGATCACTGCAGCTCAATAGTATATAAAATTGTCTTCTCAGACCAAACACAGTTAGGTACTAGGTATCGTGATATTGCCAGAAATTTTAAAAAGAATTGAAATGTAATTACTATTTAAGCGTTGTTGCTTTTTTTTGTGTTAATTTTAATGAATTATTATTAGTCTAAAGTCTAAAAATACTTTTTCCCCCTGTTTGTTGCTAATTGTCTGGCTTTCGACTTTATTATCGTGGTGTACTTATACACAATATAAATATGGTATGTTTGTATATATGATTTACTGAGGTAGTGATTAAGCAATTAAAAGAAGAGATATGCACTGACTAACCCATTAAATTTATGGCAGGCATAAACATATATATGTACATATGTATGTTTGGTTGAGTTGTTGTTTTTTAATTGTTAAGAAAATAAGAATTTACGTTAATTTCAGTTGCACCGAAGCAACCCTTCATAAATAAAAAAGTTTTTCATACAAGAACTTGATTTTGATCAGTCGGTTTGTATGGCTATATGCAATAATGATCCGATCTGAACAAGTTTTTCGGCGATTGTGCACTTTCCTTGGACAATAATCCATGTCATATTTCGTGACGCTATATTGTCAAATAAAAAAGTTTTTCATATAAAAACTTGATTTTTATCGTTCAGTTTGTATGATAGCTATATACATGCTTTAGTGGTCCGATATCGGTGAATCTGCCAAATAGGCAGTTTCTTGCAGAGAAAATTTCGTGTGCAAAGTTTTAGATCGATATCTCAAAAACGAAGGTACTAGCTCGCGTATATGCAGATAAATCGCTGAATCGACTCAGCTCGTTATGTTGATCATTTATATATATATTTTATGGATTTTGCTTCTGGATATTACAAGCTTCAAGGCAAACTTAATATTCTAACCTATTCTAATGTACCTCGTTAAGGGTATAAAAATATGTATTGTACGCGATATCTGGTTTTGTTTAGAGAAAGGAGTATGAAAAATCTTGAAATTTGAACCATTCATTAACCGAACGAAAAAAATATATGTATATTATAAATGTGAAGTAATTAACTATTATTACTATTATTATTTTTTTTTTGTTTTGTTAAACTTTAAGATAATTTTTTAATTACAATTTATTTTTATTCGACATACATACATAAATTACACAAAGAATAAATTATGAAAATTACAAAAATTGTAATATTTCGTAAATTGATCTTATTATATGTACATACATATGAATATACATATAAGCACAAAAGTGCTTCAAATAAGGTTTCGAAATTGTTGTAATGTCAAAATTCGTTGAAAAAAAGTAGTTGGGTATGTCTTTAATTTTTTTTCTATTTACTGTAGCATTTTTAAAATTAAAAAAACTATTATACTCTGTAGCAACATGTTGCGAGAGTATAAAAATTAAATATGGTATTTGTATGAAATAAAACACAGTCGTGAAAATTAAATTGGAAATTTGTTTGCATTTATTAACATTTGAAAGCAAATTTATATACGTATATATGTAAGTGCACATTCACGTCTCGTGGTTTTTATATACATATCATTTATTTACAAACAATTTCAAAATCTATTGTTTAGAACTACATATGAGAATCTTTTGCAAGGCATAAACTTTATTCAAATTCTATAATTTTTCTATTTTTATAAATATGTATATTAAACAGCAATATTTAGTATGTTTAGAGGGCTTACGCTGCTTTAAGTCTGGCATTACTTAAATAAATTAATTAACACTACTTGTCTTTTAGTATCCGCTTATAATTAAAACTAGTTTTATCTAAACATTAACATTTTGTTGCAGAGGACGCTAACAATTATTTTTTTATGATTAAATTATATACTAAAAAAAATAATGATGGACTGGTTGTAAATCAGTCTGGTAAAATAACATGGCAAAGAATACTTGGCTCAAACAGTAATAAAAATAAATAAAATATTAAAGCAATAAACTAAAAGTACAGATTTTTGGTATCAACAAACACTTTCAATTCAATATTTGTATTAAATACAGGTTATAAACGATTATTTTCAAACATGAACATTATAGCAGTGTACGAAAAACACGCTTGTCATCGAATATATTTCGGTAATCCCGGCTTTCTGCACAATTCTCTTTAAAGTCAAATACACGTATATTTTGATCGGTTGCAATAAAGAGATAACGATTATCACAGGCTATGCTATATACAGGCGAACTTTGATTTCTCGCCTTTTTACTGCGTCTTGGAAAGTACAACTGTTGGTATGTATTCGGCATGCGTATATCATATAAATTGACGCGTCTGTGATATTTGGCGCCACATAGAACACCATATAAACCGTCATATTCAATGCAGTAGAACGACGAATCAAAAGGATCTTCGAATATAGCTTCATCGCGATTGGAACGACGGTCGTACATACGGCAAGTGGTATCAAAATTACCTGTGAATATCACATTCTCGTCCTTAATGAGTAAATCATATATAGAAAGGGTGTTTGAGTTTAAGACGGTCTCCTTGCCGCTGCAATAAGGAATTATATAAAACGTAAATACAAAAAATATTTTTCAAGTATCTTATTTGTCAAGTTACCTTTCCACATCGAATTCGCGTAACGCATATCTTTCTACATCGGTATATAAACCACCATATAAACGTTCGCCACCTTCAGATAACTTTAAAACTTTAAATTCCTGCGACATCTCTGCGAATGGTTCTAAATAAACTAAACCCAGTTCGTTTGTGCGACGCCACAGTTTTGCACAAACATTTGTACTGGTTGCATATATTTCATCTTCGAAATCTACACAGTGTAAATATTCTTTGGCTCGATGCAATTGTTGTTCATGTACTATACCATCTTCCCAAATATAGCAATTACCCGTAACTCGCCCAGCAAATATTGTATCTTGCTTTTTGGCGAAACTAGATATATCTCCACGTGAACCCGAAGATATTTCTTGTAAGCACCTACGTTGCAGTGGTTCGTGTTTAGCACGTCCGTATAACCGTAAATAGTCTAAATGGCTTACATATAATACATCTCGCTCAAGAAGTATTTTGGTAGGAAACATTTGTATATGATTATAATACTCGTACTCCCTATATCGTCCATGTAACCAGTTACGCGCTATGTGAAAGCGAGTTACATAGGAAATTGATAAATAGTGTGACCTGCAACGTAAAACATTATAAATAATAAAAGTTGAGCCTATTACTAAGAGTATACTTTACTAAACACCTTTTGTTTATACGCTCACAATTCCGATGTCCACACAGAAGTGCATCCAGTGTTTTCAAGTAGAATATATGCTTGTCGATTATATTTCGTAGATGATGGTGAACACGACACAAATTTAACAAATCTTCTTCAGAACAATAACTCAGAATTCGCAACATGCAATCCAAATTTAAATCAAGTAATTTAGTGGACACCCTTTGATTAATCTCCATTTTAGTATAATTTTTTAATGGCTCAAACTATCAAATTACACATTCGGTATGTATTTCTATATTAAAATATCTGATTTTTATAAAAAACTATAAATATAATACTTTGGCATGCAAAAATTCCGTCTACGGTTATAACATCCTCTCTCGAACAGCTGTTTAAATAATTTTCAATAGCGATAAAAGACAAATTGAGAGAGAGAGCTTATCGATGTTTTCTATTTATTTCAACTGTAGGAATTTTTTAAAACAAAATATTAAATATTTTTATCACATTATTATTTTAAATTTGTATATAGTAATTTAAAATATATTATATGTTTAAAAAAAATAATTTGATTTAAGATCAGTTCATATTTTTTGACATTAATTTCCAAAACTGTTACGGCCGAAGAAATTAACATTTTATGCTATAGTGAATGTGTACATAATAAGAGCTGTGAAATTTATCTGTTAGTGCACAGCTGATGTTTGTTTGCTTTGGAAATTGAAAACACAATTTTAATTGGTTTATAATTGTGTATTTTCTAAATATAAAAGAATATCTCACAATTAAAGTCAATTGGAAGTTAAAGTAAAATTGAGATGGATTCCAAAAATTCAGCGCTGTCAAATCCCAGTCTGAGCCAATATTTCGTCGATGATCCACCAAGCTTTTTTGATGAATTGGCAAACAGCAGTACACATAAGGATAGTGGTAGGTAATATACTTAAATTCAGTAAAGTCAAAACTAAATTGAGAATTTAAAATAGTGGATAACGCTACCGGGACAGCACCAGTAGCACCGCCACGTACAATTCAAAAACCACAAACGACGCCCAGCAATTTGACAGCGAATACTTTTAGCGGTGCTTTTAAAGCGCCGGAATATATAGAGAATGCTCTGGACGGTGAAGACGATCTCAAAGTTTCGGAGCATGTACGAAATTTCTGGGAGCCAGCAAACTGTGAACACGGTGGTATACGGCCACCATTGCTAACAACACCAGGCATACAAACGTCCAATGATCTGGTAAGAAAGGACACAATATATATATATTTTTTTGTTTGTATATATTCTAGTTGATATATATTTTTAATTTTTTTTTTTAACAGTCGGACCTAATTGCTGAGACAGTGTTGAAACATTTGGGCGAGGCCGAGTTGTCGCAACGAAATATACTCGGCATAGACAGTGTTACACAAGATGAGCGTGGTTTGCGTACATTAATCAGTGCTGGTTGCTACCGTTCGGCGGTAAACCTAACCGGACGTTTGTTGACAATTTATGGGCAGGGTTATGGACGAGCAGGACAACCGGCTAAACATTCACCACACTCACTGCAGTTGTGGTTCACACGCTTGGCACTCTTAGCTAAATTAGGTGAATTCGAGCTACTGCAGGCGGAAGCAGAACCATTCGATCAACTCAATAGACCAGATGTCTACTACGAGGTACAATTAATGAATTTGTTTTATTTTTTTAATATGTTTTTTGCATTTTCAAACATTATTTTGCATTTCTTAGTTCTATCCTGAAATGTATAACGGCAAAACTGGTTCAATAGCTTGCTTCTCATTTCGTTTACTACTCGCTGAGTTGCCCATTTATTTCAATAATCCACATTTGGGTCTAGATCGACTATCAGAGCTTTATGTTATATGTAATGAAATACGTAAATACTTCGCTGGACGTGAGCCCAAAGAAGCTGAACAATTTTGGTGGCGTCGAGAGATGCGTGTACTACATTCCATAGTCAATTGCGCTTTAATAGTAAGTCCTAGAATATATGTATATTTGTTGTAATTTAAATAACTTGCCCTTTATCTTACTACTTCTAGATGAAAAAATTCAATTTAATCGATGACGTCATACGCGGTATGATATTAGAAAAGAGCGAGTTGAGCAAAGAAGAACGCCGAGCATTGTATTCCACATGGGGACGCATTTATTTGCAAATTGGTGACATATTTGGCGCTGAGCAAAAATTTGCGGAGGCGCGTCGCATGCGAGAAATGTAATTAAAAAACGTGTTTACAATTAAAAAAAAAAATAAAATCTTCAAATACTTTTATGTATTTTCAGCAATTCCACAGCCGATTTGCGTGACTTGGTAGACAAAGGTCTAATTACCGTAGCCGAAAATGATTTCCGTGGCGCCTACGCTATTTTCCAAAAAGCATTACATTTAGAATCTGGCAACACAATGATACTAAACAACATGGGCGTTTGCTTGCTTTACGAGGGTAAACTAAAAGAAGCTATAAAACTCTTTGAACACGCAATTAATTTGAATCCGCAAAAATCGCTGAACGAGAGCTTATTAGTAAATCTATCCACACTTTATGAGTTGGAGTCAAATAATTCAAAGCATAAAAAGCTAAATTTACTGCGGTTGATCAATAAATACAAACCTGATTTAAATATGGATTTGAAGATTTGCTTGAAATTGGAATCTGTAAATTGATATGATGCATTTGGCAATGAAATGCGTATATTTATATAAATTTAGATGAGTAACACACGACAGTAAAAAAGATACAAGAAGAAAAAAGTATTCATTTGGCTTTAAGAAATATTCTTTCTGTAAATATAAAAATTGCCCTCCAAAAGTTATTATGTGTATAAATGTGTAATTTGTAAGTGAAATAAATATATAATAATACATATGAACAATTTTGTCGTTGTAAGATGCAGTAATTAATTTTTATAGTTTTTTCAAAATCGAATACCATCGGTTTCTGTGCTAGAGTATTAGAAATAATTTTACTAGGCCTTGGTCGGATAAAAATTCGTGCCCATTCCGATAAAGTAGATCCGACTGTCGTAAAAATTATCCTTTTTCAATCCAATATAATATTTGATTTCAAATTCCCACTCTGTTTATGTTACTGATGTTACAATAGAATACCCATCAAAAATAAATAAATTTCCATACAACAACTTGATTTTGATTGTAGCTTTGGCTTGCACAATATACTATCAAATTTGGGAAGATATCATTTCAAATAAAAAAGTTTTCCGTACAAGAACTTGATTTTGATCGTCAGACTTTATACATACGGACATGGCCAAATCGACTCAGCTCAACATGCTGATCATTTGTACACATATATCTTTTATAGCCTCCGATGTTTTTTTCTGGGTTTTACAAACTTCGTGGCAAACTAAATATATACCGCGATCAGCGTATAATAACTTTTACGATTTCGGATTTCAAATTTACGCTTTGATTATGTTCTTGAAATTCCAACCAAAATGTTTTGCCTACATTTAGGCTGATGCCGCGTCTTGCAAACATTTTCATATCAAAATTCAGAAAGAATAATATTTGTGTTTTTGTTATTTATATTTTGCATACGATTTATTCACTACGTCAGTAAATGCGTGTACAAATATTAAGGAAGCAAACTAATTTGTATCGTATATGGAATTCATTACAAAAATGCGCTTAAATACTAAAAGCAAAATAAAGGAATGATTCAATTCGTAAAATAAAAGAATATCTTGTCAATACATGTATATATATATATATATATTTATGCATGTAAATACATATAAGGCATACGTACATATTTAATGTATAACTAAATGTTAAAAAAAAAACTAAATTTCCTGGAAGCAGCAAATACTAAGGCAATTGTGTTACACAAAATATATACCATATATACATATGTATGTATGTATATGAGTGTGTGTAGGTATGCAACATTAGACTTGTTAAGCGTTATATGGAAACTAATTACGATTTTAGTAAAATATATATAATTTCTAAAACTGCGAATGGGACGAAGTAAGTTTTTGATTTTTGAAAACGATTTTAAGCTATTAGCTAATTTTGAGTATAAATTGCACAAGGAATTAATATTTTATGTACGTTTTAATACATTTATCCATTATGCATATAAGGTTTATATGAGTTTTAAATACAGGCGATTTGTAGTATATAGTACTTGCATGTTAGGCGGCAAATACAGAAAATTTGATATATATAACACACAGCATTCGCAAATGTAATACAATAGTTGGTAGTGAAAGGTGCAGAGATTATAGAAGTAGTAGAGTAGACGCTTGCTATACAGAGGATAGTGGGGAATTTCAAATAGCAGGTAAATATGATATATATGTTTATAATAATAATAATAATAATATGTTGTTGTTGTTGTTGTTGGCGTTGTGCAACACACACGCTTAAAATAGCAAAATACGCTTCTCCACAGTTTTGCGACAAATCGGACAGCCATCAATTTGATCGCCGCACATTTGGCAAGTGCCATGGCCGCAAAGGAATACCATATTCTTGATGCGGTCAAAGCAAACGGGACACATTGTCTGCAACAAAAAGCACGATTAATATAAAAAAAAAACAAGAAACGTGAAAAAATAATGTCAACTATCAACCCACCTGCTCCTTGATATCCTGCAACTGCTGTTTGAGTTTCTGCACATCGTCCACTTGAAAGTTATTGACATTCGATGGTGCCACCAGCACAGTTGCGGCGCCTGCAGCGGCGGCGGCTGCAGCATTACTAGCCAAAATATTATTTTGACTATTCAGCTGGTTGGCGCTGGCGATAGGCGTGCTCATAGCGCCGGGCACAGTATTATTCATAGCTACACCGTGACCTGAAGTATTAACGCAATGCATTTCGTTGGACTTATCGTCGGTTAAGCAGTGACCAACGCCATGAACCTGTGCGCAATTAAAAAAAAAAAACACAAATAAGAAAAATTAAATATACCATAACCAGGGTATATTAAGTTTGCCACAAGGTATGTATATAAGTGATCAGCGCGACAAGCTGCGTCGATTTAGTCATGCCTGACCGTCTGTCTATATATACGCGAATAAATTTTGGGAATATCGATCTGAAATTTTGCACACATTCTTTTCCCTTCAAGAAGCTGCACATTTGTCGGAACCGCCGAAATCGGACACTATAGCATATAGCTACCATACAAACTGAACGATCAAAATCATGTCTTTATATGGAGAACTTTTTTATTTGACGAGATTAATTTACGAAATTTGGCTCGAATTATTGTTAAAGGCAACAGTACAATCTCAGAACAAATTGTTCAGATCGGAGCACTATAGCACACAGCTGCCATACAAACTGATCGAACAAAATTGAATTTGGTATGGGAAACTTTTTTTATTTGATCAGATATCTTCACGAAATTCGGCATAGATTATTCTTCAAGACAATGCTAAAATTTTCGAATAAATAGCTGTCATACAAACTGACGGTTGAAAATCAAGTTTTTATATGGAAACATGTTTATTTGTGAAGGGTATTATAGCCTCGGCGAGACCGAAGTAAACGTTTTTTTCTTGTTTATATTTCATCTACCAACCATTAAATTAGTCGACTTACCTTCTCGGCAATGCCAGCGCCGCCACAGCATAAGGAGTAGGGCAGCATTTCTTCAATTTGTGTGCGACAAAGCACACATTTCTTCATTAGACCCGAGCAATTTTCACATGCGACCATATGACCGCATGGACGGAAGAATATGGATGCACGTCGATCGGAGCAGACTAAACATTCGTCGATTTTTTCACGTGATGTGACAGTTTCACGACAAATTAGACACTTTTTAACGCGCGGTGCGCAGGTGTCGCAACAACAAACATGGCCGCATGGCTGTGTTAACAAAAAATATATATGTAAATTAAATATAACAATTTATCATGTTTAATAGTACGAAGTTTACCTTGAACACAGTGTCACGCTTGGCATCCGAGCAAACTAGACATTCTTCCAGCGGGGCCTGCTTCACCGCATCATTGGTGGCATGCAGCGATTGCGTCAGATCATTAGCCAAGCTATTTAAGCCACCGCTTGTATTGCTATTGCGCATATCGGCGCCAACACTGTTCATACCGGCACTGCTTACAGGGCCACCTTTCATCACTGTACCCAATGGCAGATTAGCGGCAACTGTTTGATGCATACTAGCTGTTATGCCACCGCCACTGCCACCACCAGCAGCACTCACCACAGACACTGGCAAGGAGTTCAAACTGCCAACGCCACCATTAGCGCCGCCAATAACGGCTGGTGTGGCAAGTGCGCGTGCGCGCGCATTCAAACTGGTGCCGGCCACATTGCCAGGCAATTCGGAATCATCGGTTTTGCGTTCATTATAGCATTTAACGAGTGTTTTGCACAAATTCGGATCGGGACACAAGTCCAATGGTGTTTGCGATTTACGATTTTTTAAGGTTAAATCTGCGCCATTTGCTGCCAGAAAACAGGCAATCGATGCGGATGCCTTTTTATTGTTTGGATTACGCAGTCCCATCAACAGCTTGCCAAAACCTTCGACATCTTGCAACTGTTTCAGCTGCGAGAGTGTATGATGACGCAATGCCTCATGTAGCGGCGTATCGCCATCCTTATCGGGTATATTCAAATTGGCACCTTCCTGCACAAGTAGCTTAACAATTTGCACATGCTGACGCTCCACAGCCAAATGTAAAGCGGTCTGCAAGTTCACATTTTGGCGATCCATATTCGCCTTGCCCATGTGCACGAGCAACTCGGCGATTTCAACGTGATTATTCAAGGCAGCCAAATGCAAAGCCGTATAGCCGTCATCCTTTTTCTCCTCCACAATCCACGGGCGATTAGTTTTCGTGAGTAATATCTTCATAGCGCTCGGATTACCTTTGAGCGCGGCATGGTGTAGCGCATTGAAGCCATTGTTGTTGGTTAGCGTAATGTCGGCGCCATAGTCAAGCAGAAGTGAGAGCATCTCATCATGTTCCTTTGATATAGCATCGTGTAGTGGTGTATCACCCTCAGAGTCCTGCAGACTAGGATGACAACCCAACAAGAGTAAAGTTTTCACCACATTCAAGTGCCCCTTATTGACAGCAATGTGCAGCGCTGTCTGACGTCGCTTATTGCGTGCATTCAAATCGGCGCCTGCCTTAGAGAGTATCTCAATTACAGCTGGCTCATCGCCGAATGCAGCATGATGCACTGCGCGATCGCCATCTTTATCCTCGATTTCCACATCGACATTGTGATGCAACAACACTTGTATCACATCTGTGTGTCCGTTTTGACTGGCTGCCTGTAGCGCAGTGTGGCCGGCGAATACGCCATTTACATCGGGCACGGTGGCCTGTGCGCCGGCAGCGGCAGCTCCTGCGGCGGTGGATGTGGCCGCCTGTACATTGCCAGATAGATACTCCTCACAGCGTGACTGTCAAAGAAACAGAACAATATATGTACATTTTAGTGCAAGCTATAGCAATTTTAAATAAAACTTACTGCATATCCATTAGCGGCGGCTTTAACAAATTCCTCGGTGGCATCACCAGACACATTCGGTTCGAAAAGTTTCTTCAAAATAGCAGACAAACGTTCGCCGCTCGAAATAACGGGCACACAGCTGCCGTCAGCAGAGGCTGAAGCCTGTAATATATTGCAGTAGTAATGATTATTTTCAGTGTATCAAATTTTTTATGCATACGCACCACTTTTGTAACGGCAAGTGGATTATATGTCCATGAGGTGTTGCCCACTTCCACCTTCAAATCGTTATCGTGATAAACTTGCTGTACACGCCCCAATTTGCCAAGTGTCTAAAGTAGTGTCAATTGGTATTGCAATTAATTCAAAAACAATAAAAATAATAATCTAAAGCAATTACTCGTTTATTATCATGCGCATATTTATATATTTGCCAAAAAAAAAAATCAAATAAAATTTGTATTATGTATGCAAAAATGTAGAGCACAGGGGTGCAAGACTAGAAATTATACATTAAGTTTGCCATGAAGTTTATAACGCCCAGAAGCAAACTCCGGAGACCCGTTAAAATGTATGTATATAAATAAATGATCAGCGTGACGAGCTTTTCCCCCAGTTTTTGAGATATCAATCTGAAATTTCGCACACGTCTTTTTCTACTCCAGAAGCTGCTAATTTGTCGGAACGGCCGATATCGAAGCAATATAAAACATAGCTGCCATACAAACTGATTGTAAAAACTCAAGTCCTCGTATGGAAAATTTT